GTGCTATTCAGGAAAAAATATATGTTTTTGCTTTAATTTGGACTTTTCATTTTGTATTCCCTGAGGCATGTTTCTGTGATTTTTTTAAAATTTTGAATATATGCTCTAAATGGGGCCAATATCAATTTTTAAAATTTTAGCTCGTACTTTATAAAAACCATCCTGGATTTTCAACGACCTTTGCAGAGCCTATGGGAAATGAGGAGAGACAGTTAGACAAAAAAAACTTTTTTCTCAAACTGCCTCTCCTCATTTTCCATGTTCTTTTTTCTACTATAGCTACCCATTTTTGAAGTGTTAGCAATAAAACCTTCATGAGTTTTGCAAGAAAATCATCAAAGATCAGTCAAATTTTCGCCGATTCTTCTGGCGCTACGGCTGCTCAATTCAACTCCACATTCACTAAAGTTTTATAAGGTCGGCGGACTCTTGGTGGAGACTTATCGGATAAGATTTCTGGTTTTGCGATTTTCAAAAATCACTTTTTTCCAATTTCAATAGTTCCGTGGAAGATGCGCGGGCATGGTCCGAAAAGAAAATGGGAAATGAAGAGAGACAGCCAGAGAAAAAATATTTTTTTTCTCTGACCGTCTCTCCTCATTTCCCTTAGACTCTCGGCTGCTGAACAAAGCCAACGCCGAGTTCCCGCGGTGCGTTTTCCATTTGAGTGCGACTTTTAAATTAGTCTCCAATAAAACTCCGATGATGTCGAGCTTTCCGGATTGAGCGAAATCAAAAATATCCTCAATTTTTATGACGCTCATGAAAATGAAAGTTTTTAGATAAACCCCGAAACCCCAAAACTATTGACATCATTCGGATTAAGCGTGAGATAACTTTAGACTACTTCTTCGATACTTGTTAGACTCGCTTTTGCCTTCTTTCAAATTGAGATATCTGTTTTTTAATTTGAAACGGGCATTTCCATAACAATTTTCAAAAAATTTATTTGTTATTTTCCACCTGTATTTTCTTGGATTTTACCATAGATCGCATGGTAATTCCTAGACATGTTTTCCATCTTTTTTGAGCCAATTTAAATTAATTAGCGTCGAAAATGCAGTTGGACAAAATGAGCTAATATTGGCGAATTTGAGTGTTTATTTCGGGACGAAAAAACCGTATTCCTTTCCGGTTATTTGAGTATGAAAAAGAGTGAAATTTGATAAGAAATGGGTTGTGGAATGAAGTTCCCAAATGTTCATGTGATGATTAGACAATTTGGAGACTGTTTGAAGTGTCTAACTTTGGAAATTTTGGAAAACTGGCATGGCCCCAAACCTTAAACTTTTGCATAGATCTTTAAAGAGTCTAAATTTTAATTCCTGAAAATTTTAACTTGTGCTTTACATATTCAACAATCTTTTTTCGAGAGATTACGCAAAACGGAGAGAGTCGGCGAGACGAAAAACGCTTTTCAGCAATGACTTTTCGAATTGTCGTTGGTAAAAACGATCTTTTGTGAGCAATTTTTTTCTTATTTCTATTGGTATTTTCATAAAGTGCATGGACATTTTGCCTTTGCCTGCAACGCGCACAAAACTATTTTTCACCGTGCATTTCCCTTTTTTTTGGTTTCGCACTCTGCATCACAAGCGTGGGAAACAGTTCAAAATGCAGTGTGCGGAGAGCAAATGTCCATGCACTTTATGAAAATAACTATTTAATAGGCGTGAGAGCAAAATTTATTTCACAAAAGATTGTTTTAACCAAGGCCAATTTGAGAGTTCATTACTAAAAAACATTTTTCGTCTCACCGACTCTCCTCATTTTGCATGATCTCTCGAAAAAAGATTGTTGAATATGTAAAGCGAAAGCTAAAATTTTTAGGAATTAAAATTTAGACTCGTCAAAGTATCTATGCAAAAATTTTTCAAGGCCATGACATTTTTTTTAATCCTTGTCCCAGAAATATCAAAAATTTTCGCATCGAAATCGTCGATGTCTCTCCGAAAATTTTTCTTTTGTAGTAAAGTAGGTCCAAAAATAGTTTTTAATCCGAAAAATAATCAAAAACTCCCATTTTATCTCCTTTTTTCTCTTCTTTTTACAACAAAAACATTTTTCAAACACAAATTCCTCAAGTGTAAAGTGTAATTGATGAAGATTTAACTGCTTAATCGGTTGAAAAGTTAACAGTCTTCAACTGTTTGCATTCGAATGGCTCTGTTCGCTGGCAGAAAAGTGGGGAAAATGCGCGCTTTTTGTGTGTTTGTTTTCCCATTTTTCAGCTGCAAATTCGCTCGGGGTGTCTGTTAAAGCCCTCAGGGCTCATGCATAAAGTATATAGTTCAGAGGGGTTCGGGCCCAGTTCGCAGCCGTTTTTTGGCATTTTGCGCAGACAGAAAATTGGAAATTTCGAAACATTCTCAAGGCCATTGCCTGGGGCATAAAACTTGGATTTTAACATATTAAAATTTGTTTTATAGCTAGGCTATATCAGGTTCTAAAAATTGGGAATTTGCGACTTTATGAGATGAAAGATTGATAGTTTGTGCACTGTCCGTTACAAAGGTCGTTGAAAATCTGAGAAAAAGTCTGTAAAGCATGAGGTATTAGTCTGTCGGGAAAATAATGAGCACAATGTTGCCGCACCGTCCGCCTCGCTGAAGCAAAAACAATTTTATTTTGCCGCGACACAACTCATTTTTTCGGCGGAGATGCGATTTGCGATGCGACAGAGTGCTCATTACTTTCCCGACAGACTGATAAGCTCACGCTTTGCAGACTTTTTCGAAGATTTGCAACGCCCTTTGTAACCGACAGTGCGCAGACTGTCTATCATTCTTTCATCTCAAAAAGTCGCAAATTCTCTTGACTTTTTTCGACCTCAAGCTTTAAAAAAAATTTGCGCTTCAATTTTTCATTTCTGTATTATTTTTCTCGCGTACATTTCTTTTGATTTCTTCTCCTAGAGGCGTGTGAATAAGCTAATTGTGTTTTTTGAGCGTTTCTTTTCGATTGTCTTTCGGAATCAAAAAGCCGAAGGCTTGAAATTGAATATCAGTCTGTCGGAAAAATAGTGAGCACTCTGTCGCACCGGAAATCGCATCGACGCCGAGAAAATTGATCGTGTCGCGGGAAAATCAAATTGCTTTCTACTTTCTACTTCAGCGAAGCGATTGGCGCAGCGATATTTTGCTCATTATTTACCCGACAGACTGAATTTTGGGCTCAAAACGCATTATTCTTTGAAATGGCTTGGATTTTGTTTTGGATTTTTTCACTTTTTTTGAAAATTTTATAATTCATTTCTCCATAACGCGATTTATATTTTTTGGATTTGCTCTCAAAATTATTTCTTTCATTTTTTTTTAAATTATGTTCAAGTTTCGTAACAAAACTTTCAAAAAAATCCCAAAAATTCAAATTCGTTCAAAAAATCTTCTGAATTTTTGCCCCCGATTCCATTAGCTACAGTACCATTACCGGATTGTAATAAACAATCCCCCCTTTCTAGGTGACTAACGGAATGTTTAAACGGAAAATTCTTTAAAATTTTCTAAAAATTGCCCGCATTTCAAGAGCGTCGCTCTTTTTTTCGGGCCACGTGAGCGCCCCCATCGTGATCGGAAATTATTGAATTCTATTTTTGAGACGGGGTCCAATCATATAAAACGTGTCCGGCTTTTAGATTAATTTTTTTCGATTTATTTGCGATTAATTATTGATTACAAAAATGAAATTTTTTGATAAAATAATAAGGAAATTTGCAGTTTATTCATTTTATTAGCTAGACTCTGTAGTTGATACTACTTTTAAAATTAAAAAAAGCGATTTTCGACACTTGCAACAGAATGCCAAAATCGCGGGAAGTAGATTTTTTGAAGCAACTTGGACTAAAATGTGTCGAAAATGAAAGAATTTAATTCTAAATTTAATTGAGAATTCCCACAAGGCAGCAAGCAATATTTTTTCCTCGTATACAGGGTGTCCAGAGAAATGTGCCGGAAAGTTTTTGTCGATTTCTTGGCGCTCAATCAAGATATCCGAAAAATTCTTTTTGCAGGATAAAGAAGAATTTGGGCGGTTTTTTGTGCAAAAGAATCATTTTCTCCGCCAGCGCGGAAGGCAGTGTATTCGGCGGAGACTTTTGATCGCTTTTTCGGCCATCACACCAATGTTAAACGCTTTATTATGATGCTGAAACTTCCGGAAAGTCTTCAAATTGGGATTGCATTGCGATGTCGCTGTCTGTGTGATTTATTGCGTCAAAAATTTGAAGACTTTCCGGAAGTTTCAGCATCATAATAAAGCGTTTAAAATTGGTGTGATGGCCAAAAAAGCGATCAAAAGTCTCCGCCGAATACACTACTTTCCGCGCTGGCGGAAAAAATGATTCTTTCGGACAAAAAACCGCCCAAATTATTCTTTATCCTGCAAAAAGAATTTTTCGGATATCTTTATTGAGCGCCAAGAAATCGACAAAAACTTTCCGGCACATTTCTCTGGACACGTATTTACATTTGAAACACAATGTTTGCTGAGAACTTTTAATTTGAATTTTCAAGAATTCCAATATTCCAAGAAATAACACTTTCACACAGTACACAACCTAAAACTATTTTAAATTAAGTCACGCGGCATCCACGCGTCTTTTTTGACCTTATACTAGACATCTCTTACCGCTGTCCCCTCAAAAAGAGATCTTTATCATGCGCGTTTTAATCTGCCATTCCCACTTCCTCGGAAAAATGAGATTTCAAAATTCTTTTGCGTGCTTTGCATACAAATTTTGTACGCAATGCCTTAGGGGATTTGTGGGGATTCGAGGATTTTGTGGGTTTCCCGGTAGAAAAAGCAGCGGGATTTGTTGTGTTTATGACTATTTCGACTTTTGCAATATTTATTTTGACAGTGTGAGGATAATTTCGCGTTAAATAGTCATTTTTAACTACTTTAACAGTGGTTTTTTACTCTTTTTTCAGACTCAAATGCCATAATTTATCGTATTTTATACATATTCTTGTAAAATCTTCTGTATAAATCTTCCAAAAAAAATGGAAAAGCCTGCCGAGCAGTCATCCAGCGGCGCTTCCACTCAACGTGCGGGTTTTCGCAACGTGGAACGGCAGCATCAACAGACCCGGAAGTTGCAAATTGTGTTGGTAATGGATCGAAAGATGCCCAAATTTTCGAAACAACGGGAACAAGCGTGTGCCGATGTTGAGAAAGTCGCAAAAGCGTTGAAATGCAATCTACAGGTATGAAAAAATTCAATTCTAGTGTCATTTCTTGTCGAAAAATTCAAACTAAAGAATCATCGGCAGTCTTGGCATTCTGTTTCAAGCTTAATTTTGAATGGAATTTGGTATAAAATTGCGTGGAAAAAACGTCTTAAACTGATTCTGCAGCCTCAAAAACCATTTTAAACGCTTTTTAGAGTCTTGAAACAGAATGCCAAAAATGGCGGGAAAACATAAATTTAAATTTTTAGGCAAATTCAGATCCAAAATCACATAATTGGTGGTCTGTAAATTTTTTAAAACCTATTTAATTTAAAATATTAACTTTTTTCAATATTTCAACACGCTTTTTTCAGCTAATCGAGTTCGATCCGTTGGACTTCGGCGAAACCAAAACCTTGGACACATTTTACAACGCCGACGTGGCTCTGGTTGATTTCACAATGACCGGTCAAATTTCCAGCCTCTGTTATCATGTGGGAGTGCGCGAATCCATGGGTCAAATGTACAACATCATAATCATGTACATGTATGACGAGACAATGAATCAACGGGTCGATCCATTGAAGGTAAAATACGACCTGTTAAATTTCGATTCTTTTGTTTTCAGACCACTCTAAATAATCTCCAACTTTTGGCCTACTTCCAAGGCAAGGATGGGACGTTACTCTGCGCCGACAAAACGTCCAACGGCTTCCGAGATTTCGATCCCAGAAATAGTGAACGGCAAGTTCATATTTTTAAAATGTTTCCGATGGAGACAACTCGTATTTTACCCAAAACTATTTTTTTTCAGATATCAAAATATGAAGTCGCGGGGTCTCCAGACATTCGCTGAAGCCGTTAAAACCGCACTGACGAATGTCCAAATCGAGGCAAATGCTCATGCCAAGGAGAAATTTTTGAGTGATCTGCGAAAAGTCCGGGAAATGGAGGACCCAAACGAAGCCAACCAATTCTTGGAGAGAATGAGAAGCCGCTTGGACAATCCCGATGTCCTCAATCTGGACACTGTCTGTCAGATGTTGCTGAGCTATCGGTAAGCCGGGGTGACTTTCTTTTTTCGATTTTTTTGGTGTTTTAAGGCCTTGCAACAGAATGCCAAAAATGGCGTAGCTGAGTTCTTTGAATTTTTTTCTTATTTGCTGTATATTTCTGAACCTTTCATTACGAAACCTAGCGATGCGGAATGAATTAGCGCGTTTTACAGACCCATTTTTCAGTGACACCCAAAACTACGACGCGATGATCAACTTGATCGAGGACCTCGAAAAGGTCAACCAGCATCAAATCGTTCACGCACAACCAGTCTGGTTTCTCTATGCATTCGCGTTGAATCGGCAAGTCCATCCAAAGCCTGGACGAACCCCCAAATTTAATTATTTTAGTCGAAATCAACCGGGAGATCGCGATAAATGCATCGACAATGTCCTCCAGATTATGGAGAAGTACAAGGACACAGTTTCGCCGGATGTGATCTGTCTGGCGGGCCGTGTCTACAAAGACCGCTTCATTTCGTCCAATTACGAGGACAAAGAGGCCTTGGAGAAAGCGATCGAATGGTATCGAAAGGCGTTCAACGTCTCGCCTTTGGAGTATTCGGGAATCAACCTGACCACGATGCTGAGGGCGCGCGGAGAGCAATTCGAACATAACGTCGAAATGCAACGAGTCGGTAAGGATATTTTAGCAACAACCCACGACTTATCAAAGCTCCTTTTCCCTAACTTTTTCCTCTATTTTCAGCGGTTGTTTTAAACTCCCTGCTCGGCCGAAAGGGCGCTCTGACCAACATGAACGAATATTGGGATGTGGCCACCTTCTTCGAGGTCTCGGTTCTGGCCGAGGACTACAATAAGGCTTGTCAAGCGGCCGAGAAAATGGCCATGCTCAAACCGCCCACATGGTTTTTAAAGTCGACCATGGAGAATATCAAACTGATCAGCCGATGTGCCGCGTCCTGCTCGCCTATTGAAAAGGAGAAACAGACATTTGTATTTTGGACGGAGTTCTTCATGGAGGCTATCGAAGGGTTCTCGAATACCACGTCAAGATTCCCAGTGCTCATTCAGGAGGTGAACAAGGTAAAAATTTGACGTACTCCTCATGAATAACGTTAAAAAATCGGATTTGACCAAAAATAATATTATAACTACTATTTCTAAGAAATTTTTTTAATTCTCTGGCTACTAGCAGCTCTTCTGACAGTTGAAACAGAATGCCAAAATGGCGGGAAATCCAGAATTCAAATTTTATACCAGAAATGAGCCCCGACCTGATGTCATTAGACTTTCAATAGAAAAATAAACTATTCCCAAGGCCAATACAATTCTATTCCGTCAACTTTTTCAGCAGTACACTCCCAGTTACATGACCATCAACGAGCACGACGTTATCCTGACCCATGTCCTGGAGCACAGTCAGAAGAAGTCACCGCCACCCGGAATCCATCGATGGGAGTTCAAGTGGAGCCAGATCAAAGCGTTTTCGGCGTCGAAACGGGATGACCGATCCATGTACATGTACGTGTATGAGAACTCGGACGACTTCAACATCACTTTCCCATCGTCGGCGCATTGCAATGGGTAAGCGAGAGAAGAATGGCAATCCGGCCGGGCCGAAGTGGTTACCGGCCCTAGGCTTTTTCGAATTTACTCAATATGTTTAACAACAAACACATTCATTCACAGATATAAGTTTACTACCAAAATTGCAAAGATTTTTTTCCGGCCTCTACATATCTCGGTGAGATTACATATACAGAATACACATAACAAGGGATTTTAAACATTTTTACCGAAAATCTCGGCCCAGCTCTCAAAAGTCTTCATGCTCGGCCGGGCTGGCTCGATTCTGACCTCTAAGAGAGAGTGTAATCGCCGAGATTAAAAGACTAGAGATCAACTTTTCTTTACGCAAATTTTTGGGAGATCAAACCCAATAATAATCTTATCTTACTCTAGGGCGCTCAGCAAAATGAGCGAGGCCGAAGATGGTGGTGGAGGAAAAGTATTGAATGATTGTGAAGCCGACAATCATATCGAGGTAAGTCAGGTCTCAAAATCGTACTACAACTTCCATAAATATACGATTGCACATATGAAACCCCTATTTTTAGTTCGAATACGAAGTCGACAACAATACCGGGGAACGAGTTATTCTAGGACGCGGCACCTACGGGGTTGTCTACGCCGCTCGAGACGTGACCACCCAACGATCAATCGTCGTCAAAGAAGTCGAAGTCAAGAACGAGGAGGAGGTTCAGCCGCTCATGGAAGAGATTCAGCTCCATTCCACCCTATCTCACGACAACATCGTTCAGTATTTGGGATCGAAAGTTGAAAAACGCGATCGTCGGAACGACGTGTTTTTAATCTTCATGGAACAGGTCCCGGGAGGATCGTTAAGCTCGCTTCTGCGCAGCAAATGGGGGCCGTTGGACTCGGAGCAGACCTTGGCCATCTATGCGCGACAAATTTTGCAAGGAGTCAAATACTTGCATGATCAGAAGATTGTGCATAGAGACATCAAGGGAGAGAATGTTTTGGTGAACACCTACAGTGGGCTCTGTAAAATTTCGGATTTCGGAACGTGCAAACGGCTGGCTGGACTGAATCCCGCTACTGACACGTTCAAAGGCAAGTTTTTTACAAAGGATAACCTTTTTCTGACCCTGCAACAGAATGCCAAAAACGGCGGGAAAACACAAAATTCAAATTTCCGCGCCAGTGGATGCTTATAACTATATGGAAAATCTTTAGGAACTCTCCAATACATGGCCCCTGAAGTCATCGACCACGGACAGCGAGGCTACGGCGCTCCAGCTGACATCTGGTCTTTCGGCTGTACGATGATTGAAATGGCGACGGGAAAGCCGCCGTTCGTAGAACTCGGCCTTCCACAAGCTGCCATGTTCAAAGTCGGGATGTACAAGACTCATCCGCCAATCCCAGCACACTTGAGTGAGACTGCCACAAAGTTTATCAAACGGTAAGACAAATCTCATATTTTTCCCAATTTTTGCCATGGATAATATAAAAATAAATCTCTTTAAATTAACTAATTTTGATACTAAAACAAATTTAATATCTAACAATCGTATTTCAGATGCTTCGAGCCTGATCCGAACAAGCGTGCGACCGCTGCGGAGCTTCTCCAAGACACCTTTTTATTACAATTTATGCCTGCAACGTAAGTCGATCCTAATAAGATTAATCTCTTGGAGACGAGAGGCATCTGGTTTATTGGAAATAGCTTAGGAAAGATGTTTGATCAGACGGAAATAAAATCTCTAAGCACGGAAACTATTTCCGGATTAAGCTAATACCACCGATATTGTGTCAAAATTTTTGTAATCGCCAGTCAATAATTTTAGCAAAAACTAGATCCTAGGACGAGCTTCACGCAAGATTTGTCTTTTTTGCGGTTATTTACCTCAAAAACGAAGCAGTTGTCTCTCAGAACACTAGGGTCAAGTGTTCCTTTCTTTCCAAAATTATCAAAAAAATCATATACGAGTAGAACCATATGATTTCTGACTATATTTATTATCTAATCAAGACTAAAAGCGAAGAGTTTAATATAGATAACGCCTTTCGTGTCTCAAATATAGTTTTAGATATTTTTTTTTGTTTTTCCCTTTTTTAACTGCCGATATTCGCTAAAGAAGTAAGGCAGATTTGAACTTGGGATAGAACGGAATAACTTATAATCTCATATCTTTGCAGTATTCACAAAGAAACCCCGATTTTTTCAAAAAAAATTATAGCATGACTAAAATGTTTTTTAATGCCTAAACATCCTTGTGAAATGGGCCGTTTTCAGAAACCTAACCTCGTATTTTTCAGCCAGCGCAACGCGAGTACCAAGAAACGAGTGGATGCGGGTCGCAACTTCCCCAGCAGTAAGTAGTCCCCGATCAAGTGCAAAATGTCCCCGTCTGCTTATCTCTATTCTTCTGTCCCTCCTGTCCGCCGTACTTTCCCCTCCCTCCTTTCTTTCGTTGTGGTGCTCTTTTCGACGTGCGAAATTTTGCAGAGTTCCATCGTTCGGCCTCCCATATGAGTGGGATGATCTACAACCCGATGACGCTGAACCCGCGCAAGGATTCGCAGCAGTCCCACTCCGAGTGCAATGTGCCGAACAAGCTGGAGATCCCCAAGGACGCGCCGAGAACGCAGACATTGGGTATGGGACCACTACAGAAATATTATACTAGACCAAAGAAAAAGTCAAGTATAATATAAAAATCTAGAAATTTCTTGCCGAAACTAAGAAACTTGAGGTGTAAGTAGCTGCTGTAGGGCATGAAGTGCTACTAACAACCCAATTTTACGCTAATATGACAATTCCGGCAACAACTACTTTCAAGTGAAAAATTTCATTTTTAGTGTTTTACAGTGACGGACCACTTCACAATTTCTCCTAAAAACACTTCAATCACTATTTTTTGGGCTTAAAAATTCCTTACGAGGGCGCAAAAACATGAAATATCACAGTAAAAATTTGTATTTTTTGTGTACCAGCACGAAAATCCAAAACATTTCAAATTGACGTACGTTGTTGAACTTTCAATTTTTCAATACTTTCGAGAGAATTTTCAAAAAGTCAGAGCTTTCGCCTCAAGGCGCTTAATGTGCGATTAGCCCGTTTTTCTTTAAATGTTACTCGTTGGTTTGCCGAGAGCTGCCTTGAACCCCATAAAACAAGGCCAAATGTGTCCCATTCATAGCTAGATAAGTGTTCCTCGTCGGTTCCCTGTACAACGAACGCAAAACAAAAAACATTTTTTTCGGTCCCTCCCATTCGTTGTACAGAAATGCGAATGTAATGAATATATTATGCATGGCAATGTTATTCATCCCCCCTTTTCTTATTTCTAATGTCTTCTTTTCGCTTTCAGAAGTTGTGCAGCCCAAGAAGAACCGAAGCGAAAGTGAATCACACATTTTCGAACATGTGAATGAGGGTTTTTTGGCTACCACGACTGCGTCTTTGGCCAATCCCTCAAACCAAAAGTCGTACACAACAACCGCGACGAGCAAATTCCCGGCAAGCGGCAAAATCGAGCGGCAGAACTTGAGGCTAAAAATTGAACGACCACCAATGCAAACGAATGAATGCTCACCAGGTAAGAAATTTTATACTATGGTAATAGGCATGGTATACTATAACTAGCTAAAATCGTAGCAATATTTCGCAGTGAACCGAACGTATTATGAATTACCGTGACATGATGGGACCTTACAGACTTGAAAATAAAAGCTTTAGCTGCGTTCACGCTTAGGCGACATTTTATACGAAAAATTCTGAAAGTCAAAGTTTTTCGTATAAAATGTCGCCCAACTTGATAAAGCCAATACTGCTTTCTGATTTTGAATCATGACTCCTTAGGATGTTACCACCTTCAACGACAGCAATTACACCGCTATAAAACCCTTCATTTCAGGCTCCTTCACAGCGCCGGTTCAGCACGAATACGGCAATATCTTTGCCAACGCCCGATGCTCACTTCAAATCAACTCCTCTCTCCAAACCCAACACGAGAACGAAGAGATCCGTCCGAATCAGGTGCCAGCATCGGCATCACCCTCATTTTGCACCGTTCAACCGCCCTTCTTCGAAACCACCGCTTCGGTTTCCCTTCCAGGCACAAACTTCCCAAATTCCCATCAATTTATGCATTTGACGTCGGCTACGGGCATGCAGAGTAAATTGACAGGAAACAGCGTGGTCTCACAGCCGCCTAGGTAAGAGTTTTGCGCGTGGAATTTTATATACTCTTCGAAAACTCGAAATTTTGATACTTCTAGAGTCTTCTCTACAAAATAACCGTTATTTTCAGTCCCCATGCTCATCACACGCCGCTGACAGCAAGTCCATCACTCTGTGACACCTCGCCGTTCCTTCAACTCCCTCAAACTGGCCTCAGTATTCCCGAAGAAAACTCTTTGGTAAATCGTTTCTTTACCCTCCAAAAAGATCATGAACGTCGTTCCACGTTGGCCTCCATGATGAAGGACAACGAAGACGAGATTCTGATCAAATGGATGGAGCATGTAGCTTCAGAAGTTCGCGATGATGAGCCGCTGAGGGTAAGCGTAATTTGAATAAAAATTGGGCAGGCTTTCTCAAATTTGCATGCAATTTTGACTAATAATCTCGACTTCAGCTCACCAAAGACACACTTCGTCAAATCCTCACCGCCATTCGCCTATTCTTCGTTCCGTCCGACGATGAAAACCTTCAAACCGCCCTGAGTCAGCTCCAAAAAACGCATTCCGACTATGACCGGCCGCAGTTCGCGAAACAACTCACGGACGCACTGTGCGTCTTCCCGCAGGCTGTTCAGCCGCTTCTCAAGAATCAGGGCATCAAACCCCATTGGATGTTTACTTTGGATGATCTGATTCGAAGTGCAGTCCAGCAGGCGTTGAACTATTTCAAGCCCGAAGGTCCGCACAACTACTGGCCAATCGACGGAAGTCAGATACAAGGACTCGAACAGATGCAGAACCAGCCACAGAACTGCACAATAAGCTCAGGTAAGACGGTCATAAAAAAGGTTTGGAAAATATATTACAGTGGGGGAACCTGATCCAGTGGCAAAAAACGTACCATTTTGCATCCGGGAAATATCAAAAATGTGACAAAATGCTTCCTTCTCCACGTGAAAAAACTTTGTTTTGAAGGGTGCGCCCTTTTTCATCACAAAAAGAGCAGGCGCGCTTTTCAAATCTGAGTTTTTTCACTTGGAGAGGGAGGTAATTTGCCACATTTTTTGATACTTCCTGGATGCAAAATGGTACGTTTTTTGCCACTGGATCAGGTCCCCCAATGTACTCAAAGTATCAAGTGTAATATAAGTGATAAAAATCACAGGTTCAAGTCTAGAGTCAATTTCTATTACTTGCAACGGTTATAAGAGACCATAAGCAAGCTTTTTACTTCGTAATTTTTAGTTTAACTTTATAAAAAAACCCATTTTACCTCGTTTTTTAATTTCAGGTCACTGTCTAAGTCAGCACCAAGCTATGGCTCGTTCCCAACAACTCATCTCATCCACTGTCAACACCCCAACCACAGACCTAGTCGAGCAACAGCGATTCACCGACCTCTCGCAGCAGCACCGCCTCTATTCCGAGAGTATTCACAAGCTTTTGGAGGACCTAGTCCAAGTCGAACGGGAATACCGCGACCTCTTGGCGCACAACGTCAATGAAAAGCGGAGGTCGTTGGAAAGATTGGCGTTGAGTATGTCCGAAGTGGATTCGGGGATCCTGGCCGACGGCCGATCGCCTCTGGAGATGAAAAACGAAGCCGATTTGTTTGCGGCAGCAAGCCCAGTCATGGATAATAACATCGACAAAGAGAAGCAGAATGGCGAAGACGAGCTAACGGTTTGGCTGGCGGAGTTGGGATGCGATGCGGAGAGTATTCAAAGGCTGATCAATCAGCACTACACTAAGCAAGACCTCATCGAATTTGTCAGCAGAGAAGAGCTAATTCAGGCGGGAGTGCCGTAAGTTATTACAATATTTGGAGCTTCAGAAACTCCGGGCCAAAAAATAATCACAAATCAACGTAGACCGTATTTTATTTTTAGTTTATAGCAGTTTGGAACCCTTTTCACAACCTTCCCTAAAACAGAATGCCAAAAATGGCGGGAAAACTAAAATTTGAATTTTCAAGTTGCCAAATCCATCAAAATGACACAACTAGTAATAAATAAATTTTATTTTCAGCGGAGGAACCTCCTGTCGTATTTGGCGAGCCATTCTTCGCCGGCGTTTGGACCCATCCCACAAAACCGAAGGTGATCATTTGGCCCGGAAATGTGCCAGATATCGGTCCTAAGCTCCGACTATCCACAACCGCACAATTTTTACTACATTAGGAGTCTTTGTCAGCTAGAAAACACGGTTCTTTCCGTCTATTTCGCTTCTCTTTGTGAAATTGTATATTACACATGGTATTTTTAGTCGTCCAAATAGTCTATTTCAAAAATTTCTACCCGCACTTTGTTACTACCTCTCTCTTTCAGCTGTTATTTCTACTACCGGTGTAGCTTCTCACTTCTTATTATTCTTTCTCCTTTCAAATATCAAACCTTATCCATGAAACTGATCTCCACTCTTTCTTCCCTCAAACTTCCATATTTTCACTTTTTCGTTCATCGAATTTTGAGTTCCCCAAGTTAAAACTAGTCTGTTTTCTAGCCTTTTTGCATAGGGACCCATTCTTTACTATTTATTTTCTAACTTTGGGTCCCACCACGAAACCGTGAATTATCGTAATATCGAATTTTAGTCCTTGGAAACTCAAAATTTCGCCCATTTATGTATTGAAAAACAAAAAATGAGATACCCCGATGCGCGTTCCTATATTGTTATATCATTTGATAAAAGTATATTATACCAGAGAATACCGAAAGGCACATGTATTATAACATATTTGTGAAATAAATATTTCAGAATATTTTACTCGATATTAATATGTATTTTAGTATCCTTTCTGCTTACATTTTTTTAACTCACAAAACGACTTTACTGCACAAAAGTCGCCAAAAAACCTCAAAAATAGCCATGGATAACATGAAAAGCCGGCCGAAAATTCAAATTCCAGCCAAAATAACTCTAAAACATTGTATTTTACGGCCTGTTAAGCCCTTCTCAAACTAATTCCGGTCGTTTTGACCCCTAAAACATTATGCCAAAAATGGCGCGAAATTTTTTTTACAATTTTCCATAAAAACCGCTACCCCAAACGCTCTAAAACGAGACTTCTGATACTTTCTTTACCAAAACAATCAAAAAATTCTTAAAATTTGCCACAAACTTACCTAAACCATTCATTTTCACCAAGTACAATACAAAAAAAAACTCAAAATTTCCGTCCAAAATCTCTCAAGACTTCATTTATTTTCAACAAATAACATTGTAACTTATAAACATCCTAATTCTTCACAGCGAGCCTACTACCAATTCCGTTCGATGGGACTTTCCATCGGGTATCCATTCTCGTTTAGGACCAATTTTCCTTGCGTGAGAATGCTGGGGTTGGTCACCAATATGTCGTAATCTAAAAAGTTTGCCGTATTTTCCTACAGTGACTCAACTTTTACTCATTACGCCTTTTTTGGCACAATTTGGGGACTTGAAACGCAATGCCAAAAAAGGCGGAAATTCAAAAATTCATGTCAAAATCTGACCAGAAACCATTCTATCGGGTAAAATACGCATCAATTTGTTTCTTTTCTCACAATTACGACACTTCCAGACATCTATTAGATACCAAAACACAATGCCAAAAACCGTGCAAAATACTAAACTTGAATTTTCAAAGGGTTCACAAATACCTTTAACAGGCAAAATACGTTGCTTGATACTTTATGGGTAAAACACGCCGTTCAATCACTCATCTATCACTTTTTCAACCCTTGAAACACAATGCCAAAATTGGCGGGAATTCAAAACTCCCTCCAAAGACCCTCCCCAAATGTCCAAAACATAATTCCCAATCAAAATTACTTACAACTTTGCAGAATTTCCGTGTTAACTTGAGCCTTTCTCGACGCCTCATAACAGTAAAACATGGTCCATCCCAGCTGAGCCTCCGAAGTCCGCAGGCCAAGTGCGGCGGCTCTGGTGGAACGGGCGATTGTCGCGACCATGCCCAACTGAGCTTCCAGGATGTCGGCCAATGCGGTTTGGGTGTAAAAGTCGGTCTTTAGTTCGGTCGCGTAGCGGACGCACACCTTCTCCAAGGTCCGTTCCAGGCGCCACGTGGAGTATTCCAATTCGCGGCAAAACATCTGGAAATCAAGTAGGTTTATTTCTCATGCTCAAAAGCTCACTTCCAATGCGGGATCCGCACATTCGGCCAAGAAATGGATCGCTTTTGGATCTTTGTAATCCTGATGTTCAGTTGGGGTAAAGAAGACCCTTTTCGGCGTGAAATATTTACTCTTATTCAGCGGGGCCTTGGAATTTTTGACGTAAGAGTCGACCGTTGGGAGGGCGACTGCTCGGATCAGCGTGAGATCGGGTAGCTGGAATGGAATTTTTAAGTTTAACAAGGCTAAGTATAACATAATAAAAAACTCAAAAAAAAAGCTAGAGATACTTCTGAGAGCTTCTAAATTATACTAGGATCACTTTTTCGGCATTTCCAACGATTTTGCCAACATTTCCAGCTCTTGAAACACAATGCCAAAAATAGCAAAAAGTAGAATTTTATTTCAAATTTTACCAAGATTTTTTCTAAACATGCTTTCCAAGTGTTAAAATACGTATTCTCAAATTCCTCTATCCATTCATAACCTTTTCCCAGTCATAGAACACCATGCCAAATTTGGCGGGAAATCCAAAATTCAAATATCCGTCCCACAAAATCATTCCAACTATCTCAAACTTACCCCCAAACTCAGAACCGAGGTGATGTCCTTGATATGTTTGGCATAATCGAACGCTGTATCCACTGCGTCCAGACCAGCCACCTCACTGATGGACAATATGGCCTGCCGGAGTGTTTTGTTGGCCAAGCGCTGGGTAATCATGTTCTCGATATCGTTCAAGGGGTAAAGCTTTTCGTCGGCCATTCCGGCCAGGTAATATACCATCGATTCGAGGACGAATAAGTCGACGGAAAGATGGTTGATGGACGATTCAACTGATGGATTTTGAGCCAGAAGCGTGTTGCCAATGCGTCGTTTGTGCGCAAAATCGACTAGTGAGCCTTTAACGAGCATATTAGACAAGTTTAAGAGTATAATACAACTTTTCATATATTACCCATCATGAAGAATATCAATTTTTTGACCTTAAAACATCTTAGGAACCCCTATAAAAATCTGATTCTAGCTTTTTCAAGGGTACACAACCATTACCTAATTTTTCGGAGACAAAAATTGCCCAAAAACATCAAAATCAACATAGATAATATAATAAATAGGCATTCGCAGAAAATGTTAAATTTCAAAAAATTAACTGCTGAATATAACCTCACAACCTTTCCAAATCATCAAAGACTTACTGAGGACTCTTTTAACGCATCCTATCGCCGCTGAAGCGTGATTGATCCGGTTTGCGGTCACATAATCATTGATCATGTCATGGGTATCAACAACGGAGCCGCAAATATCGTCCAAATTCACTGGGACATCAACAAATTCAACATCGCTGACTGAAAACGTCCTCAATAAAACTCAATCAACATTGTTTCGTATCTAAAATCCAACAAAAAAGAGAAAAAAATCTTACACTCAACTCCATTGAGGCCTTGAGTCGTTTTCGGCTCGGAGATCTTGATTTTCCCAGATTTCTGTTCTTTAGGGACGATGTAACAGTAGAGTTCGGACTAAAAATCAAAAGATTATACAAAATTCAAAAAAAAATTATATTACACTAGGCAAGCGCAATAAAAACTTTTTGAAAATCAGCTTACAGTGTTTCCAAGTTCATTCCTAGCCACTACTAGGAAGTAGTCGGCATCTCTGGCATTCAACACATTCTGTTTCTTTCCATTTAGCAGACCATTTCGACCAGCTTCTTGAGTGACCTTGGAGTAGGTGGAAGTGGCGTTACTGAAAAGAATACTGGTGTAAACTAGCCAAATTTTATTTTGAAATACTCTACACTACCTGTACTGAACATTGCAAACAAAAAGTCCCATATTTTCGACACAAATTATATTACACTAGATATCAATTTCAAAAATAGGTGCAACTCGTTTAAAAATAATTTTAAACTAACGAAACTTTGCTTCAACCACTTTTTACAGATATCTATGACCAGAAAAAACAAAAATTCCTCCATTTTTCAAAAAAATTATATTACACTAGGTATGGTACTAGCAAAACACAATTTATACGTTCGAAACGTCTCCAAATCGTGCCAAACCAAAACTAAGAGGTAAAATACGACTACAGGGTCTTTCAAGAAATGTGCAGGAAAGTAGGAGGCTATAACTTTCGGCGGAGGCGGCGCAGAGAGTTCGTTTTTGGAATATGTATTTTTCAGTGACATTATTTTTTGCCTACGAAATAACAAGATTTTTAAGTGCAAACTGAGGTCGCTACAACCTTTTGAAAAAGGGGTCTTTTACCCCGAAAACCAGGGTTTTTCGGTTGAAAATGATCGAGAAATTTCAGAGTTTTTCGGTCCAAAATCACCGAGAAATGTCGGGTTTTTTGGGGGGTTTCGATGGAGCTGACGTTGAAAACAGGGAAGGAAATTGCCAACACGTTGAAAATTAAGCAAATATTCGGCTACTCTTTATTTCGACACTTTACTGCTAGCAAAAACTGGTTGGCTAGCCAACCAGTTTTTGCTAGCAGTTTAAAAGTTTGGTTGTCATTCCTGCCCTTTGACGCCCATTACACCCCTTTGACTAGTTTTTTAAAGACTTCACAGACATTCTGGTGCCTTGTCTAGCCAATTCCAGGTCCCCCAAATCCACAAACGGAACACTGAAAATAAACTCGAAATCTGCCCCAAGTTGAGGCTAGCCGAATTTTTGCTTAATTTTCAACGTGTTGGCAATTTCCTTCCCTGTTTTCAACGTCAGCTCTATCGAAACCCCCCAAAAAAACCGACATTTCTCGGTGATTTTCGACCGGAAAACTCTGAAATTTCTCGATCATTTTCAACCGAAAAACCCTGGTTTTCGGGGTAAAAGACCCCTTTTTCAAAAGGTTGTAGCGACCTCAGTTTGCACTTAAAAATCTTGTTATTTCGTAGGCAAAAAATAATGTCACTGAAAAATACATATTCCAAAAACGAACTCTCTGCGCCGCCTCCGCCGAAAGTTATAGCCTCCTACTTTCCTGCACATTTCTTGAAAGACCCTGTATTCAATTCCCTTTAAACGTACTTATCATCCAAGAAACATAACGCGATATTAATTTCACCGCTGGCAAGCTTCGGCAAAAACTCGTCTTTCTGCTCGGGAGTTGCGTAGGTCTGGATGATATACGCGGCCAGATGGTCTTTGTTGACCTGTACTGACAGTGAGAGATCTTTGGAGCCGATGAGTTCGTTTAGTTGGACTTGATCCTTTCTGGAGGCATTTAATCCCCCAAACAAGGTGGAGATGGCCAATCCGTTCACCGAATTTGATTTCAAACATTCGTTGAGCGCTTTCCGACGTTCCTTGGGGTCTTCTACTGCCACTAAAATACGAAATTTGACAAAACATTACGTCAAAACAAAATGCCAAGATTTTTTAGCATTAGAAATTTTCGTGGTGGGACTCAAAATTAGGACTAATAAAAGATGAGAAAGAGGTGAAAATTGCTAAACCAAATGCTTACACGCCGAATCGATGCCATCACCAAGTTTTGAGAGGTATTTCCGGACGTTTTCCAGCTCCGAATCATCATCATAGTCCGGGAAGAGCAGGTAGTTCTAAAACAATATAAAAATATTGGTAAAAAATCTCAAATGTATCATAAAAAATCATAGAAACCCCCTTACTTTGTCCACTCTATTCAACGCGAGTCCTCTTGTGATGGATCTCTTTTCAATTGGCAGGGTTTCCTGCACCTTTTCCTTGGCTGGTTCGGCTTCCGACCTCGCGGCCAAAGAGCGGCCGAACTGCCGAACCTGTTGGGTTCTGAATATCCGACGCATTCTGAAATACGTAGACTCCTGTAAGCTTCCGTAAACTTTCTTTTTACCCACAAAAATCCAAACCCCAACCATAAAAATTGAAAAAAATTGAAAAGGTAAAAATTGGTCTAAACCAATATAAAAAACAGTCACATACTCCCAAAACTTATTGTCCAACAAATAAAAACTTTATTAACAACAAAAATGATGGCTATGTAACAATAAAATCCTAATCTTGTCCTATTGTGTCGGCGGATTCGGCGGCCAGAGGCATTTGAAACGGATATCCCATGGATAATATCGGTTTTTTGTACTCTTTCATGTTCCAAACTGCAAATATTTATATTAGAAATCAATAACCAGCCCATTTTTGTCATTTCGAACGCTTAATCCAGTAAGTAAAATTTCTAAAATTTCATCAAAAATCATCAAAATTTTTCGATTTTTTAACCTAAAACAATACAAAAATGACCGAAATAAGAGTCCAAACCGCATTCCAAATCTTTTGCAAGGTCTGTAATGAAATTTCAAGCCGAAAAACACCCATAATTTTGAAGAATCTTCGATAAACCACCAAAAATTCACGTTCTTACCTACTACAATATCCGAACCCTCACAAAATCCCCTCTTACCATGCCACATATCTCTGACCGCTTTCGCAATATTTTTCTCAAACTCTCGACCGTAATCGATAGTCCATTGGAGTTCCATATCACAGTTTTTCAGTCCTATTGAGTAGCTTCTGGATGTTCTGGACAACATTGCTGCCAACAGAATTTGTTCGGTTGTCATGTCCGCGATAATCCTCTTCACCGGTTCTGTCTTATCTTCAGGGATTTTCCAGGCATTTTTACCAAGGGTTTTGTAGAGGGTCTCGTCCACGTGGCCCAGGCCGGCTTCAAAGTTGATGGCTGGAGGCTGAAAAAAGGGTGTTCGTTAGTTTCATGAGTAAAAACAAGTCTCAACACTTCGCCAAGCTGTGCTAAATTTTTTATTTCAAACAATTTAAACATAAAGAACAAAAAATAAACGATTTTCCGGGAACATCACACCTAGTGTAATATAATTTTTTTTTCAAAATCCCAAATTTTCTTGCCATGGAAAGTAAGAACAGGCACTGTCGGCAATGATGCGCTAGAAAAATCATTATTTCTAACTATACTTAACAAAAAAGTGCTATAAAAAATCAAGTGTAATATATTTTTTTTGAATCTCCCCTTGCCCTACTCTTGATCTGCTCAACAACAACAAGTCCTCTAAACATCGTCTAACAACATTTCAAGATCTCATATCTACATATCTTGCAACAAACAGGAATTCATTTCAGTTTTCCCTTTGCACTGTGCAAATTTTTAGATTGTTTCGCACAGTGCAAAAGAAAAAAATTTCCGCACAGTGCAAAAATAAAAAAAAACAAATTCGCAAAATTCTAGAGTTCAAAACAACCCTATTCGAACCAGAACAACCAAAAATGAACCCAAAACTCCACGAAAAAAACCAAAATCTTACCTTGAGACTGATATGGACATGTTCCGCGATAAAATGCTTCGCCGCTTGGACTGGCATTGCTGACGTTGAGGTGGGTTTTGGCGCTGGCATCATCCATCGTATCCAACTTGAGCGCCATCGGGGATTTTCGTCTTTCAGCGTCTTCACTATGATTTCAGAGATCTTCTCGTTGAGGGTTGGTTCAGTTGTTAGGGTGCAGAAAAAAGTTGCCAAATCTCGGATCCATCGCTCGTGGGTGAAATAAGCGTCCACTGCGGCCATTCCTATCACCTCCGAGATGCCGAGGATGGCATTTTGGAGGGCTCGGCGGGTCAATTTCTGGAAAAAATTATAGTGTTTTAGACATCAAAAACAGATAAAAATAACTCAAAAAATGCGAAAAAAACTTAATAGAAAGTATCAAAACTAATATTTTAAAACACGTCGTAATCTGTAAATTTGACTTTTACAAACCAATTTTCGACATTTTGGACCACTAAAACAGAATGCCACAAGTGGCGGGAATTCAAATATTTGACAAAAACATACTTCAAAAACCTTCATTGAGTCAAAAGAGACCCACTTAGGACGTTTCTTGTCTATTTTATCCATCTTTATTCACATTCCAACTTATTAAACATAATGCCAAAATTGGCGGGAATTCAAATTTTCGACCAAATCATATTCTCAATATTATTAATCAAACCAAAAGCTATCGCTATGCGCATTTCCAACCATATTTTCGACGACTTCACCTTTTTTTCATCCCTTGAACACAATGCCAAAAATGCCGGGAAAAATAAAAATTTCAAAATTTTCTTTTCGAAAATTATCTTCAACCTCCCAAAACCTCCTCAAATCTTCCCTACCTCCACCACCATGCTCTCCACATCATTAATGACGAACAAATCTTCATCGCTCAGTCCATTAAAGTAAAATACAACCGTCTCGATATGATGCACATCCCTAGCCATCTTGTTGATCACCGTTTTAACCGATGGCATCTCCGACAGAGCCTTATTTCGTCCAACAATTGTCCGGTTTGCTTGGTAGGCGAGATCAGAGATCACTCTTTTCAGAGCTCCGACTGCGGCGGACGCGGCGAAGGAGCGATTGATTTCCTGGAGATGGGTGAAAATTTGAGGGCCCGACAGATGTTGGTTCAGTTCGTCGGCTGGGGTGAGCTCAACGTTCCGAAAATGGACCGTGGAGACTGAAAAAAAAATATTAAAATTCGCCGCACAGTGCGAAAAAAATTATTTTACCTTTGGGCCGCACAGTGCCAAAAAAATCAATTTTTGCACAGTGCGGAAAGTTTGCGACAATAAGTCTACGCACTTTTGAAAAACCATAGTACATCAAAAACCAAATTTCCAAAATTTTTATGGCCATTCAAAATAATTTTGAAAAAAAAATCCACAAAATCCGTCATGATGACATATTAAAAAATCCAATTTTAAAGCTTTTCCTTCTCAAAATCCATTCAATATGTCATATTTTATACTCGAAAAAAATTTCATCGACCATAATCTACATCAAGCCTCAAATGCGTCATCATGACACAATTTTTGCAATTTTTCAAATTGTTCTAAAAATCAGAAAAACTGATAAAAAACAAACTTACACTTCACATTCTCCAATCCCATAACTTGTTTCGGCCGTTCCGTTTTCACCTTTCCCTTGATATTATCCTTGTCCACCACATAACAATTCATCGTTTCTTGGCCATCTTTGATCGCTTCTTTGGCAAAAACTACCAAGACATCCGCATCAGAGGCATTCAGAAAGTTCTCCAGCTTCCCATTTAGAATTATTTTTCCATTGGACCTTGTGGCTTCGAGATTTAGACTTTCTCTGAAAAGTCCAGAAAATCAGTCATGATGACATGTTTTAAAAGCCAAAATTTTTTATGTTACTTTCAAAAATGCGCATCATAGACCATAGCCAGTCCGAGAAAAAAATTTGGTTCCAATATGACCTTCAGAATCAAGTTAAAGCGTCATCATGACATATTTTTTGGAATTTTCATTTCCCCAAAAAAATCATAAATTTTTTTATAAACTTGGACTAAAAATGACAAAGAAAAAAAATATCGCCACTTACGTCACATCCTCCAAACTTATGGCCACTCGAATTTGGCCAGTCCCAATCTTCGGAATCAACCGTTCGATTTGCTCTTTACTCCCAAAATTTTGAATCACCATGGTCGCCATCTGAACCGATGAGACGTTGAGGAATGTCGACATGTCCAGGTTGGCTATGGTTTCGCTGATACAGAGGAGTTCTCGACGCTTCATCCCCATCCCACCGAATTCCTTGCTGATGTAGGCGGCGAACACAAAATTTTCCATGAGAACTTGATTCACTGCGGAAACCGGATCACCTGTTCCTACTAAATACGTCCATTAGATGATTTGTGAGTCAAAAATTTTGTTATAAACAACAGAAATTGATCCAACTTTCTAAAAATCAAAGACAAATACGAAAAGTGCTTACATGCTACATCCAAACGGTATTTTAGATGGTCACAGTAGTTCTTGATGTCGTCCACGGCCTTCTTGTCCAGAAGTTCGGGGTAAATCATGAAATCCTGCAAACAGATGTCAAGTATAACATAAATTTCAAAACAGAAGATAGAATGGACGTATATGGCCATATGACCTGCCAAAAGACCTCCAAAATCACTCCAGGTCTGATTCAGAGCTTGAGATCAAGGGTAATACCAAAAATTTTCAAAACTTATATTATCCATCACCTAAATTGAGAAAAAAAATAAATAAAAATCTCACCCTTTCAAACCGATTCAACATCAAACCTCTTGAGACTGACTTCTTCTCGATCGGTATTTCCTTCTTCTCAAGGATCTGAGCATTCGAGAGAAACTGTGGGATATTTTCGACCTTCTCCACCTCAGACTTGCCGGATTTAACGCTGACATCCTTCGAATACAGTCGAGATACCCGTAGATGCCTCGCGGTGAGCTTGATGAGGCGCATTTACATTTGAAGACATCAAATTTTGGGAGAAAAACCGAGAGAAGAATAATTTTTTATCCGCAGCTCGCGCCCGATAGGGATTGCAGTTCGGGGAGAAATTTTATACGAAAGATGGAGAAATTGAGGGAGAAGGGTAAAATACGCAGCACAGCCGTATTCAGTGTTTTAATGAAATTTAGAACAGTATTCCACGATTTATTTTTAGGTTATTCAGCTAATTCATAAGTTAGTTTACATTATCTACACACAATATGTTCGTCGAATCCGAGCGGCATCATAGCGCCATCGGAGCGGCGTTTTCGAGTTATGAACGGCGATTCGCAGTGGTACTCTTCCCGAGCCACAATGCCGATCTTGTGCAATCTGAAAATTTTTTATATTACACATGACACCAAAAAAATATTTTTGCTCATAAAAAGTGAATGTTTGGAAATTCAAATCCGAGCTTACTCTAGGAACCACTCCCGGGAAATGCACTACCGGAATATCAGCTTTTTCCGCCATTACGCCCGTAAACATGACATCATCCATATGTAAAAGCTTCGTTTCTTTGGTGGTGTTGAGCAAAATATCGACCGTTTTGTTCGTTGTTAGTACAAAATAACCGTAGCAGTAGGTCGGCCAATACGTTCGAGGCCATTCCAGGCGAGAGATGTACCTGGAATTTGTAAGGGTGACATTTTATACGATCAAATGTGATTGGAAAAGTTAGTGGTATACAAAGTCCATAGATATGCTGTTGGTAAAACAAAGAGTTTTGGCATGTATATAGATACCATAGAAGATATTGAAGTTCAAAACAATCGATTAGGCGACATTTTATACGAAAAATTGCATCAAACATGTTTCATCGTATAAACTGTCTCATAACATAAAAAGTTATAATCTATAAACTTTCTGGGCCCACAGTAATCTTGATTAGCCTACATTTATGTAAATTTCAACGCTTGGTGACATTTTATACGATAAATTCCGTAAACACATTTCATCGTATAAAATGTCTCGTAACAAAAATCTAATGATTTACAAACTTTCTGAGCCCGAAGTAGTCCTGAATAACCCACTTTTATGCAAATTTCAGCCCTTGCCGACATTTTATACGGCAAATTCCGTAAACATATTTCATCGTATAAAATGTCGCCGGACGAGAAGGCAAAATAATATTGCTTACCATCTAACATTATTCCGATCCCTGACAGGTCGAAATCCTCTCATTTCAGGACACAAAAAGTATTTGTCCAAATTTGTGGTCCTCCCGTCAAAGTTCTTTCCAATCCAATAAAACAGCCGCGGAAAGTAAACACTGGTGTCATCGTCCAATTTCAGAAAATACGGGACCTGCGGACAATACTGCGAGTGCCAGAAATGCATGGAGTGCCATTTGATAAAGTTGTCGCGATAAAACTCGCGCACATTGTAGTAGACGAGATCGTTGAATTCGCGGATTTCCGGGACGATGAGGTCCACGCGGAAATCCTCGAGTTTCCCCAAGAAAAAGCGGACGATTATGGAGTGGGTTAGGTTCTGAAATTTTTAGGAGAGTTGAGTAAAACTTATTTTAAAGCCAAGATTGAGAGTTTTAAAATTTTAGATTGAAAAATCAAATTCCCCGTTGTTTTTGGCATTCTGTTTCAAGGGTCAAAAAATGCACCAAATGGCTGTGTAAGGCCCGTAAAGAATAGATAAAAGTATTTTACCTTCAAAAAATAGTAATGAATAGTAAAAAATAACAAAAATTCAAATTTCCCGCCTTTTGTGGCATTCTGTTTCAAGGTCCAAAAGACTTTTTCGTAGACTAAAAAAAGTCAAAGAACTGTCCAGAGAAGCTTATTTGTACTTTTTAACCTCCATTTACCTGCTCTTTGATCTGATTTCTGATCGCTTCTCGCTGTTTATAGCTTTTCTCATCCGCCATTGACATAATATAAACCACCATCTCAACTCCATCGCAAACCCCTTCAGGCGGTCGTTGGATCAAATAGCTTCGTTGATAGTTGGCCATGGTCAAATTTACTCGGTCGTATTGAAGCGACTTCTCAAATTCTTTGAAACTCATAGTTGAGGGATCCACAGATTCGAAAAATGACGCTTCAGTTTTGTCGTTTGGGGACGATTTTTTTTCTCGAGGTGGGCTGTTGGATTGGTTGGATGGTAATAGGACAAAAACTACGGTTCCGGCAACTAAAAACGAGATTTTTGGAAAAAAATAAAAAATGGGTTTGATGTCTAAAATAAGGTTGTCTGCCGAGGAGAAGTCATTTTTGAATCATAGATATACTCAATGGTCTCTCTAAACATTGCTTTAATTTTTAAGCATCATAGAAAAGAAAGATTAAGAAATTTCGAAAGTCCCGCCATTTTGTGGCATTCTGTTTCAAGGGTCTTTTTTAGCCAAAAACTTTATTTAAGAAGACCCCATAAGCCATATATACAGGGTGGTCCAGCTAAGTTCGCGGATGTAAAATGCTTATAACTTTTTATGGGATTGTTCAATTTTTATGAGCGATAGCTCATTTTATTCCTTAGTAGTTGCCATTTTGCTTAAAAAAAAGATTATTAAAAACGATCAATCCTACGTCGAGTTATGACCCTTCAAAGTCAAACATGCTTATTCACGTAAATTTTTAAAAAAATTTAATTTTCAAAAATTTTTGAAATGCGGTGTCACCGCTCGCTGTTACCGGGAAATGATTGTGAACAGAGCGATCCCAGCTATGCAAAATTGGCCCAATTTTGCCAGTCTTTGGTATTCTTCCATAATTTGGCGCCTCATTTGTTCATCCTGGCGAACTCGTTCCACGTCTTCTTCGACTACGCGCTTCAATTCCACGTCTTTGGGCGCCAATCCCTGATGAAAATCCGCTGTTTTAAGAACCCCCAAATGGAGAAATGTAGCGGAGTTAGATCAGGTGAACGCGGGGGCCAAGCAATTGGAGCTGGTTGCCGCGCAGATCCCCGGCCCATCCAACGACCTGGAAAGACCTGGTCAAGGAGTTGACGGACCGCTATAGCAAAATGAGGTGGCGCGCCTTCTTGTTGAAAAAGAAGACTGGCAAAATTGGGCCAATTTTGCATACCTGGGATCGCTCTGTTCACCATCATTTCCCGGTACCAGCGAACGGTGACACCGCAATTCAAAAATTTTTGAAAATTAAATTTTTTAAAAAATTTACGTGAAAAGCATGTTTGACTTTGAAGGGTCATAACTCGACGTAGGATTGATCATTTTTAATGATCTTTTTTTAAACTAAATGGCAACTACTAACAAGGGAAGTCACTTTTTTCGCAGATCGATCCATACTGGTGACCTAGTGGACAGTGAAGGCCTCAGGCTGTGTAAGAAGAATCTGGCGTCCAAAAGTGTTTACGGGCCCTGAGGGCAGAGTTATGGCTCATCAAAGTTCGCGCAAAAAGGTTCCGAAAAGACCCTCCAAAAAAACGGGGTCGGAGAAGTGAGCTTCGGTAGCAGAGTGGTTCGCAGATTTTTCTTTTGTCTAGAAGGGCCAGGGTTCGATTCCTCTTCCCGGCAATAAATAAAAATAATGTTGTAAGAGTAGCGTAAGTTACAAAAAAAATTATTTTAAAAAATTTTTTGAAAAATATTATTATCCTGCCGTTAAAAGACGATTTTGTTCATATCGTCACTAAATTTATCATCTGCCCAGACAGCAAGCGTTTGACTCAAACGCTTCAGCATGATATCGCGATCACCAAGGGCGTCTTCTAAAACATCAGAGATATACATATTGAGAATCCCAGTCCTACCTTTACGCCATAGTTCCCGCAGTTTTCTCCAATGACACGGCGTGTTGATCCACCGTAATCGCCGCATTATTCCAGAAATTGAATGCGATCCTCGGTGGAAAAATGCCCTTGCATCCCTCACTGTGTCCAAGCTCACAACGACTTCCCCAAATTTTAACGACAGGATTATAACATTTTTCAAAAAATATTTTAAAATATTTTTTTTTGTAACTTACGCTACTCTTACAATATTATTTTTATTTATTGCCGGGAAGAGGAATCGAACCCTGGCCCTTCCAGACAAAAGAAAAATCTGCGAACCACTCTGCTACCGAAGCTCACTTCTCCGATCCCGTTTTTTTGGAGGGTCTTTTCGGAACCTTTTTGCGCGAACTTTGATGAGCCATAACTCTGCCCTCAGGGCCCGTAAACACTTTTGGACGCCAGATTCTTCTTACACAGCCTGAGGCCTTCACTGTCCACTAGGTCACCAGTATGGATCGATCTGCGAAAAAAGTGACTTCCCTTGTAAGGAATAAAATGAGCTATTGCTCATAAAAATTGAACAATGCTATAAAAAGTTATAAGCATTTTACATCCGCGAACTTAGCTGGACCACCCTGTACTTTCTAAAATACGACTTGCGTATGTCATTGCTCAAAAAAATAAATTCTATACTTTCCCGCACAGTGCTGAAAAAGCATAGTCGCACAGTGCAGAAAATTTTAAAAGTTGAAGTAATCCTCCCTTACCCAATAAAAGTGACAAAAGCCATTTTTGGGAGTACATCATTCCCAATCACCCGCCGACAACACCCTTTCCAACTGCTGGATCGAAGTCCTTCGCCCTGAACGGCCTTGGGGCGTGTTGACCGCACTGTGCAGCAAAAAGGTAGCTTGCTGAAATTTGTACTTTGAGGCTATCGCGTCAGCGCACAGTTTATTTTAAAGGTTTAGGAGTTTTTTTTCGAGCGGATATGCAAATTGAGGCTCTTAGCCGTCAGTTTCGATAGAAGTATGGGAATGTTAAACAAATATGTATCATTCATGTGAATAAAGTCTGGAATTTGATTAAAATATGATAAAGTTTGTCAGAATAAAAAATACAGTCTGATTTAGAAGTCACACTGGTTAGAAATCACACTGTTTTTTTATTTCAGCAAAATCGGGTGAAAGCGACATTTTATCGATGGAAAATTTTTTGCCAAATGTTTGGACGCAATGTCGCCTACAACAATTTTTTTCAAATATGGGGCTTAAATAGATCCTAAAAAGGCCACAAATTTATCTTTGCTCAAAAAAATACGTTTCACGACATTTTATACGCTGAAACGTTTTTAGACTTTTTTTGGGTATAATATGTCACCTAAAGCAAATTTTGCATAACATGGATGATTAAAAGAGCAGAAATATCTCTCAAGTGGTAATTTAGCAAAAGGCATGTAAAAATACGAATAGTGGGATATGTTAAACGACTAAACATCTCAAAGCAAATTTATGCATATCAAGTGGCACCCAATGGTAAAAAATAAAAAAAAATAGAAAAATGCAGAAAATGATGTCCATTAAGCCCAGATTCGCACAATGTGTAGAATAAAGTGGCATTTTATACGTTAAAGTGCCAAAAATATATTTTTCGTATAAAGTGTCCCTAGTTTAAACAAACTGGAATTTTCTCATAATCGATCTCTGATAAAATGTTTTCACTGAAATCACAAGGATTAGCATCCGTTTTTGAGTGGCTTCTATTGTAAGAGAACAAGTCAGACGTCGATTTCTGTTGCGGATTTGCATATTTATAGTGCCCAAAGTTGGATTGTTATTCAAAAAAAAGACAAATATATTTCAGAAAAAATATATGCGAGACATGAACGGGGGATATACTGAGCATTATGGTGGCAGAGAATAGTAGGCGTATTGTATGGACGATTAAAAAACGAAAGTCAAATTTTAAGCCTTTTGTGAAGGTTCGCCATGGAAATCTCTTTAGGCAAAGCGGGCGGATATTTCCTCAAAGTTGTTACACTATTTGTTAAATATTTTTTACTGGGACAAGAATAAAGAACTGCAAATTTAATTTGTAACTGTTCTGGTATTCCAGAAACAGCCAAGAATTCTTTTACCTAGAATTGGAAAAAAAGTTGCAACTTTCTCCTAAAAAATTTCGGACTCAATTACGTGAAGACCGTAAAATTTCTTCACAAAAAATAAAAATACTCCTTAGAAGACCAAAAAGTTATTGGCAAGAACCGTTTCTCTTGGCTCTGACTCTCCTCATTTTGCGTTCTTTCTCAAAAAACCTTTTTTCATCATCTCGGCTGCTGCGGAAAAGAACGAGTTAAAACTTTCAATGATCAATAGTCCAGAGCAAAACTATGGCTACACGAAAAACTCCACAGAAGCGAAAATTAAAGCTACCGCCAAAAAATCTCGCTTTTATACCAGGTGCCCTAAAATGACCCTGTTTTTTTTGTCTACACCCTTGTTTTTTATTATTTTTCATGAACCAAAGCTCTCGTATTTGCATGACTAGTCGACCAAAGTACAACAGATTCCAGGGCTTTCCCAAAAATCGCTTGTTTAACATTTCCGGGGATTACTGATCATCCGCAACCTTCATGGCTAACGTTATCGCCCACCATATTCGTATGGTAACATCAAATGGGATTAAAACATTATGCAAATCACAAGGGTTCAAAGAAGTCAAGGCCGCAAAAATTGAACCAAACAGGTCTCAAATGGGGTTTTCAGGACTTGGTTTGCTTTGTGTCAAAACATAATCCAAATTTTGACTAAAGTTTAATCAAAAATATATGCGATGTAATGTTGGAATTATTAGGTTTCAGTCCATAAAAATTGTTTTTGAATCACACGACTTTTTTTGACCCTTGAAACAGAATGCCAGAATTGGCGAAAATTCAAATTTTCAACAAAAATAGCATTTTTTATGAACAACCTGACGTTGCGATTAATATTTTGGCCTTAGAGAAGCAACCTAACACTTTTTTGACACTTGCAACAGAATGCCAAAGTTGGCGGGAATTCAAATTTTCGAAATTTTTCCTATCAAAAGGGTTTTTCTGCAATCCTGAAACAAATATCCAAATCAATTTTATTATTATTTATTTACAATCCTCTACAAAATCGGCAAAAATTTCCCGCAAACGCTTCGCTTGACCTGAGATCTTGCCGTAAATTTGCAATCAAAGTTACTGCTCAGAAAACGAAGCAATGGGAATTTTCCATAACGACAGTCGCTGTTAGGGTCATCAGCGGTCAAATCGGATATTCCAATCCCAGCAACGCCTTCTCCGATGATCCATCTGAGCTTACTGTAGGTTACGGTAGAGTACGGGGCATTCAGTGAAAACCAATTCTGATTTCGGTCCAGAAAATAATTTGTCATTGTGGATTCATCCTCTTTTATCGGCACGAGAATTAGAGGTTCGCAAATCTGGAAAAAAAACTTTGAAAGATAAAACAGAATGCCAAAAAATGGCGGGAAATTTGAAATTTTAGCATATTTTCGAAAGTAAGGCTTAACAAATCCAAGAACTGAGTCTGATACGGCATTTACAAACGTCCCGGATTTATTTCTAGCCCTTGCAACAGAATGCCAAAAATTGCGGAAATTTGAATTTTCATTGAATTTTAAGCAGTAAAGCTTACGAAATCCCAGCCCTTAGTCTGTTACGACTTTTATAACGTTCCGGATTTATTTCTAGCCCTTGCAACAGAATGCCAGAAATTGCGGGAAAATCCAAATATAAAATTTGAAGGACCTATATACTCACCTCTTGAAGTGAAAATCGCCCATCAGTGCTTTCATACTGCTTCAGAGTCATGTTTTTCTCCAGCAGCCAATCTTGTCCTCGATCAAAATTCGTCTCATTATTGGCGATGATGCCTCTGGCCAGAGAAGAGAGGCCAACTATTAGTCGATGTGGTTCGATTAGACTTGCAACTTTGTTTACAAGTCCGCTGATCGTTTCATTGGAGAGAATCTCCGAATTTGGGAATAACGGATCGACCAGTCGATATTCGTCGAAAATCGACGAGTTTCGGAAGGGGATTTCTTTGTCCACTGAAAGGGTAGTGGTCCAAGTTCGACGCTTAGATTTTGATGAAAGTTGGCACAAATTTATAATAGTTAGTAGGACCTAGGCCAGCACCATGACAAGCAATCACGAGTTCAAACACATTTGGAGCCTGTCAACACTTTTGGAGCCAGTGGAACCTCAAGAACAACTCGCACGGATACCCGCAAATGGTCTCACCACGGAAACACTTATTGGCATTCTGCAACAACTACAATAGGATCCACGAAGAAGGAGGAATTCAGACATTAGATAACGGATAGATGGAGATATAGGACGGGAGGATTTGGTCAGAGGTTGAAGGAGGTTAGAAGGAGAACGGAAGAATTTTATTGTTGACTTGTTTACTCTTGCTCGTATTTTCCCCAATTGTATCGTTTAGTTTGGATAAATCTATCACTCGTACGTGCTTGGCGAGTCGTTTCTAGGAGATCTCCGGATCTTAACCCCAAGAACTACCCCAAATAGTTCTAATAGTTTTTGTAAAGATATAGGCGAGACTAATAGCCCGCGTTTGCAACCGAGATTTTGAGGTAAAAAAATAAAAATTTGGCACATAAAATTACGCATATATACATAATATCTACCGTAAAGGGAAATGTTTCCACGAAAAATCAATTTTTACCGCATAAAACCGGCAAAGATACGACCAAAACACTTTTCTTTCTGACTGCCCTCTGCGTTTCGCCTACTCTCTCAGCAGCAAAAATCTCTGAATATCAAGGCCTGTAAAGTCAAAATCCGAGCGTAGCACTTTGAGCACTTAGCCTATAAATTGTAATAGATTTTCTAGCAAACAAGTCTTACCATTCACATAAAAGTTGTCGAAAACTTCTTCCATGCCAAATAAAGACTTCATCGAAGTCATTGAAGTGATTTCAACGTCAATTTGGAAACCCACAAAAAAACTTTTTAATTTTTTGACGAAATTCAAAAAATCGTCGACGAAATCTTCCTCTGGGATTTTCAACACAAATCCATTGAAGTTAAAAACCGCTGACAACTTTTTCTCCAACTTTGCAAAGTCCAAATCTTCTGTAGAAGTAAAATTGCCGAGGGCAAAATCGAGGTAGAGCAAGGTTTTCACAGTGCCGGAACGGGATTTTAAACTGAAAAAAGTTTGTAAAAAACTTTCGTGGCCAAAATTGAGCTTGGTCTAAAGATAAAAAAAGTTTTTACCCCCGAGTCATTCTTCCAGCCACCTTCCAGTTGTACTTCAAATATTGGTCATCAAGGTGAATATCAAGCTCCGAGTTGATAGTAATCGGTCCAATTACAGCATGCGAGCAACCTAGTCGACGGATCCACGACATATAAAATGACGGCTCATGATTTAGACGACGCTAAAACAAAATTTTAAAATCTGATTTTGGGTCCCACCACGAAAACCTGAAAGTCATTTTTCTTACCGAACCCAACCAGCAGTACAATGAGCAAGAATTGTGGCTACATGTAGTTAATATATATTGCAAAATAACAATAAAAATTAGAGGTAACATTTTTCGCACAGTGCAAAATTTTCAAATTACTTTTGACAATAAAAAGTAAGTTGTTGGCAAAAAATAAAAGTTTACAGTAAAATCAGACAAGATTGGGAGTAAGTAGTAATATTTTTCATATTTTGCCAGAGGCTATTTGTGCCCCTTTTCAGAGTCATTCGAAATGCAAACCAAATTCTGAGCAATTACCCGCGGGCTCAGAAAAAACAACACATTTCTTTTCGTGAGGGCTTAGAAAGCAAATTTTAAGCCCTCAAGAAAAAGAGGCGATAGATCGGAACGGCACTGTGCAACAGGAGCTCCATTTTTGATCTTTGGACAATTTTTTGAGACTTGCAACACAATGCCAAATATGGCGGAAAAGTCGAATTTTTAATTGGTAAAATACGTCTTCTTAATTTTTTTGATCCGTTGATCTCTGTTATGGTGTTTTGACGCAAAACGCAACTTTTTGCCGCCTTGAAACAGAATGCCAAAAATGGCGGGAAACTTCAATTTGAAACAAATAAAAAATCTCAAATAATGAAAAACATCCTGTAAAGCAGTTTATTGTTAGTGACGGAAAATCTTTAGAGGTTTTCGTAGGCAGGGGCCGATTCTCCTGGGGCCAAGCTGAAGGATTTGACGAATTCCTTGCTTTCCTTATTGTTAGATTCCTTGTTGTCCGTGCTGGGAGCAGGGGCTTTGCTCGACTTTTCTAAAAAATCAGCATTCTAGTCATCAATAAATCTTCTAAGAAAATTCTAAGCACTTATTTCGATAACTGAAAATTTAAATTGGCTTTTACGATGTTTCAAACGGAATGCCAAAAGCGACTGAAATTCAAAAATCTTTGTTGTGAACATAAATTTGAATAGCTAAAAGCGTCATAAACTCAGAGATAACTCTCGGAATCAACTATCTTGATAATTTCAGGGATTTTTATCACGCTTTCAACACTTAAAACAGAATGCCAAAAACGGCGGGAAATTGCATTTTTGAATTTAAAAAGTGAATTTCATACGTCCTAAGCTTCAGAAATTCAAATAAAACTTCCAAATTGTATTGCTCGTGTTTTTACAGCCCTTGCAACAGAATGCCAAAGACAGCGAAAATTCAAAAATTTGATTTTTTTAACATCAGGTCGCCCTTTCAACATCTTCGTACGTAGGCTAAAACAACCTAACAATTTCCTTGCCGCCTGCCAAAAACACTTTATCTTACCCTTGTTACTCTTGGTCGCCTTGCTGGCCTTGCTCTTGGACTCCTTGCTTCCTTTACCGGCCTTACTCTTGGACTCTTTGCTTCCCTTACCGGCCTTACTCATCTTACTCTTGGAGCTTTTCTCCTTCTTACTCTTAGCATTGCCCTTTCCCGCCTTTTTGCCCTTCTGGTTCCGCTTGATAGCCTCTGGCTTGTTGATCTAAAACAGCGACATTTTATACGATGGAATTTAAATTTGGAAAAAACTTAAAGCCTCAAAACATTGTTTCAAAACAGTGAAAAATACGTTTAAACTTGAAAAATATTACTTACATCATCCGAGCTCCACCAGCAGCAGCGAACAAAGATGAATATGGCGATGAAGCCGATCAGCAGACCACTAAAACAATATTCGAGTAATTTCGTTAAAAATTGGTGTAATACCGGATAAACACAATTACAGCTATTCATATAAGGCTGAAATTATTAAAACTTGAGCTTCCCGCCATCTTTGGCATTCTGTTTCAAGGCTCTAAATTGGCTTTAAACTTCACAAAATATTTATTTTTTGCGATTAGCATCAACAAAAATTTTTGTAAAGTCATTTAGAACGTTTTTCAACCCTTGCAACACAATGCCAAACTTGGCGGGAAGATAAAAGATTAAACAATTTTTAGTCGAAAAATTACGGAAAATGATGTAGACAAGATTTGCAAACTCTATGCAACATGTCAAACATCCGTATCATCGCGAAAAATACGACTTACACAAAGAAAGGGAAGAGCAAAACAAGATACGACGACGTTCTGTCCTTCTCCACCTTCGGTGGTGGCGCCGTATAATTGGCTTGAAAGACTTCGGAAAGCGGGCGATTCGGATTCTGGTATCCACCGGCAAGTTCGCTCAAACTCTCGGTGGCTTCGTGACGAATGAAACGGTCCGGGTACATCTCTTTGATCAAAATCTGGGCACCGTCCAAGGACTGAAACGGTATTCATTTTTACATTTTTCTCGGTTAGAAGACAATGAAACTGACTAATTTTCGGCAAAAAATTGTAAGAAATTTTAAACAAAAAGGATGTCATGATGACAGGTTTTTTTGGAATGCTTAAATTGGTCATATATACTATTCAAAAATAGGGCGCAATTTTTTCACAAATAAAACGATTATCAAAGACCATGTTCAGGATTTGAAATCGGCTGAATTTCAGTCGCTAGAAATGTCATCATGACGGATTTTTTGGAATTCTTCTAAAAATCAGCAAAAAGCTTTTTTTTGGTATCTACATGAAATTAGTTACTCATTTTCACAAAGAAAAGCATTTAAATTTGAATAATTAAATGTGTCCTAATGACGGATTTTTTGGAGATTTTTTTATGAAAATCCGAAAAACAAAAAAAAAGAAAATTTCTCGTCCTACCTCAAAGGTGAGTGGGTAGACATCGAAAATCTCCAGCGCTTCAATCGCCAAATTGCAGCCGGTGCTGTTATAATGCTGTCCCGACACCCACAGGCCATAATCGGGCGCGTAACGGAGCAAGATGAAGTTAACGGCTTTGAATCTTTTGGAGACATTGCCATGGACGATCTCCACCACATTGTTCGGCTCCAGGTTGATCTTGAAGATCGAGCACAACGCCGTGCTCACCACGATCGAGCCAGCGGACCTAGAATGGCAAAAATGTTGTACGTAATATATGAGCAGAGGCCAGAAAACCGATAATTTAAGGTCGAAATCAAAGTCTGATGCATCCACAGTGCTCTCCGCGATACTGCAGACCTGGCTTTCCTCAAAATTACAGTAAAATTTGAAAAAAATTCAAAATCTTGGCATTCTGTTGCAAGTGCTGAAAATTACCTTATTCTTCAGGCAATGGTCAAAAGGTAAGTTATAAAGACTATTTGTGAATTTTTGAGGCTTTCCAGCCCTTGCAACACAATGCCAAAAGTGGCGGGAAATTTGAATTTTTAAATTTCCATCCAAATAAAACTAATAAAGAAACGTTGTGGCTGTTTTTTTACTTCGCACAGCATTCCGAATTATTTTTGCCGCCGACCGGCGTCCGAAAAAATGAAAAAATGAGATACGCCTCTTACATTTTTGCAAATATCTCGCTAGCCTCGAAGTGTAGCGTGAATCTGAAAATTGTGTTTCAAAGCTGACACATTTGTCCTTCAGAATATATTAATTTTGTAATGATACCTATTATGTACGGCAAGGAAACCGTTGCTGAAAAATGGCAAATTTCAACATTCAATGCCAGAAAAATGTACTTTCTAAGTGCCAGATCGCAAAATTATGGGCCTCATTGTGTACAGCATCTTGAATACTATAAGATATAACAATTTCAGGCATTTTCTGGCCCGATTCGCAGAGTTATAGCCGAAAAACTGCATTTTTGGTCTTCTTATTGTGCTATCTGCACTTTAAAAGTACATACAAAAAATCCCTCTTAAATTATTATTGCCCAGGTTGTGATGGACCATTGCGCAAAATCTCAGCTTTCCAGGACTCCTCCGGAAAAAGTTATAACGGTTACAATGTGTGACCCTTGTATGCCCAATATTTTGTAAAATACAGTACACCATGGTAAAAAATAGCTCTATATGGCCTACGTAAACTTACTCGAAACCTGAACACTGTCTCTCAGATTTTTCCGCACGAGGGACACGATTTCAAGTTTTCGCTATACTAAAGGGAAAACAGTGAAAAGTTGGGGACATAGCTGGGAAATTTTTTTATGTAGTTGACCGTGTAATTACGATAAATTTTTTTACCCCAACCAATGCGACAGCAGCAATAGAAATTCCATCATTTAACACCATATTGCACCATAGTTCACCGTATTTTACTAAATATTGGACATACGAGGGTCTCATATTGTAACCGTTATAACTTTTTCCGGAGGAGTCCTGGAAAGCTGAGATTTTGCGCAATGGTCCATCACAACCTGGGCAACAATAATTTAAGAGGGATTTTTTGTATGTACTTTTAAAGTGCAGATAGCTCAATAAAAAGGCCAAAATTGCAGTTTTTCGGCTATAACTCTGCGAATCGGGCCAGAAAATGCCTGAAATTGTTATATCTTATAGTATTCAAGATGCTGTACACAATGAGGCCCATAATTTTGCGATCTGGCACTTAGAAAGTACATTTTTCTGGCATTGAATGTTGAAATTTGCCATTTTTCAGCAACGGTTTCCTTGCCGTACATAATAAGTATCATTACAAAATTAATATATTCTGAAGGACAAATGTATCAGCTTTGAAACACAATTTTCAGATTCACGCTACACTTCGAGGCTAGCGAGATATTGGCAAAAATGTAAGGGGCGAGTCACATTTTTTCATTTTTTCGGACGCCGGTCGGCGGCAAAAACAATTCGGAATGCTGTGCTTCGTCTTAACACCTATTCCATCCGAAAACTTCGAAAATCTCTTACGTCAAGGGCTTCAGCGCCAGGTTCACCTGGGGATAGGCCTTCTCGCCGGACTGGATGTAGATCTGATGCCGGTCGCTGATATTCAGTTCTCGCAAGATCACCGGCGTCGGGTCAGGGTCAGGGATCACGGAACGCCTCGCCGCTGCCGCCAGAAGGAAGGAGAGCCATAAAAACGACCGCAACATTCTCACCGACCGTGAGTTTGGAATACTGAGGAATTCAAGAATTGGCAGCGAAAATTGGAATTTCGAGATTTTTATGCAAATTTTCTTGGAAAGTGAAGCCAAATTTTAATTTTTGGAAGAAAGAAGCTATTTTTCAGGCGTTTGAAGATGAGAAACGGCAATTTTTTGAGTAATCAGGTTTTCGCGGTGGGAGCCATAAATCGAAAAAGTAAACTAAAATTGGGGCGCTTGATACTCAAATTGTATTTTGAGAGCTCTAAATTGGTCTCAGGATGCCCAAGTCAAAATTTCACGGGGTTTCCTGGATTTACAGGTTTTCGTGGTGGGACAAGAAAATTTTTATTTTATGAAAAGTTAGGTCAATTATAACTCCAAAACATCTTTTCAGCCCCTCTCGATATTTTTCTGATATCCCTGTGGTCAATTCCGGCCATTTTCAACTAACCAGGTTTTCGTGGTGAGACCCAAAATTGATATCATCATTTTCAATTTTCTTGACAATCACAAGTCCAAAAAGTCCCACAAAGACCGTAATTCAAATTTTTACAAGTTTATTCTAGCCGAATTGGGTTTTTAAATTACAGAAAGTGTCCGAGAAAAATTACAGTAGGTATTGCGGGGAGAAAAATTGAACCGTTTCGAATGAATGAGCAAAGGGAAAGAGGGTTGAGAGCTCAAAATTACATAAAATATTAACGTCCAAAATAACAAAAACTGGCTGTGACTTGGGTGAAGTTGACTCTACAACAAGAAAAATTACAGTAAGACTTGTGTGAATTGTCCCACCGTCGCTAGAACGCACTATGATATAAATTAGGACTGCAGAAGACGGGCCATGGTCTTGAACTTCCTCTCCAACGCCTCGATCCGCCCCTCCAACTTGGCGCACGTCTGTTTCAGCTCTCGGTTGTCCTTTTTTATCGTCTTGTTTTGCTCCTTCAGCTGCTCCATTTCCCAATGCAACTCGTCGCGGCTCTCAATCTGACGTTGTTCGAGTTTGGAGACGGTCGATTCGACCAGAAAACTGTCCAAACGCTGGAGGCGCTGCTGCGCCGAGAGTTTGCAGACTTCACTCATTCGCTTCTCAACTTCCGGCTCCACGAAACGCCGGTAATGAAGAGAGGCGCGCTTGGAGAGGATCGAGGTTTTCTCCCAGTTCAAAGGAATCGCCTACAACAACATTTAAAAAAAATTTTTTTTAGAATTTAATGGATAATATAAGGCTAAAGGCATTGAAAAATAATCTAAGCTTGACCTTTAGACCTCTATTGTCTATTACAAAGCAAATTGACTCCAATTTGCGGCGAAACTACCTCCAAAAAAGCAAAAATTATATTGCACTAGGTCCGGACCTCGTTTTAGAAAATACAGGTGGAAAAACCAAGTAAATCCATCGGAGTGGCGGTGAATAGCTAGTTTACGTCTGCTTCTGACTTTTAAAAACAGTTTTAACTTGCTTATCCACCAAATTATATTACACTTGACACCTGATGTCAAGTACAATAAAAAAGATCGTTTTTGGAAAAACTAAAAGTTGCAACTTTATACAACGCAAATACCACAACCTTGCGCAACTTTTAAAACGATTCTTCTTTAATTTCCATCAAAACTCAATAAGGTCCATAAAAATTTACATTAGGAGTCAAGTGCAATAAAAAACTTCTTAAAGATGCCCGCCAAATGCTTTTTCAAGCCGTTAAAATAGTTGTTCTACCTTTTCTATCACCTAAAATTCAAGAACAAATATAAAAATCACTTACATCTCCATCTTCTTCGGGTAAGTTCATGACTTCTTCGATTTTGTCCAACAAGCTGAAGGATTGATCGAGAATCTGTCCATACGGAAAACAAAGGACTCCTAAAATTGTTGTGATGTAATGTTGCTCTCCTCTACACAACGTTTAGAAACAACTAGAAAAGCGGAAGTCGAGCTCTAATTGCGCCATTATCGATCGAATTTTTGTGACACTTCGCTCCAAAAAGGTGGTCTTAAAGATACGATCTTTTCACCCGATCATCCAAAATTGAGCGACTTGATAAATGGTGAATTGGAAAGAGTAGACAGTTATCTCTCTGTTAGAGGTTCAGAAATTTGTATGTGTTATTCAGTCTTTGAGATATTCGACTTCAAACTTCCCAAAATTGAGAACTTTGCAATCGCCTAGCGGGCGACGTTTAGTCACGAATCCTACAAAAATGGGCGATCAGCACTACAACATCATTCTCAATCATCATGCAAAGTTTCAGAACGTTTTCTGGCTCGAAACTCGACTTATTGAACCATCTTTCCTGCTATTATAATGATTGAAATCGTTGCCCGGGCTTTTCGCAAAATGACAAAATCCGTGGCATTCCGCGACTAGAGATATTTTAATTATCAAACTCATCAAACATGGTGTTTTTGAAAGACAAACCAGACCTACTATAACAAGAAAAATTCACTGATAGGGTCTATAGCTTTTTTCTGTCAAGATTTTGTTCAATACTGGGCTAAATTAAAATTTTTGTAATTTCTCGAAGAAGCCAAAAACATTATTTAACAGTACGCCAAACATTTGTTTTCGTGGCGTGACGCGACCAGAATTCCGTGAAAAAACGTTGTGCTACTTATTTTCGCAATACCAATTGCAAAAATTTCCTCGAGAAAAACGGACGAAATGTCAATATTGATTTTTTTGAATTTAAAATTTGAATAAATCCAAAAAATTGATCTCACCTTCGTCCATCGCTGCCCTCAGCATGTCTACCGGGTTGAGAACGTGGACTTGGAGGTTGGTCAGGACTTGCAAAGGCCTTGCGAATCGCTGCTCACTAGTTACTCGACGCTGACATTCCTGCATCAAAATATCTGCCTTGTGGATGAGTTCAAAGTAGCCGGAATTCAACAGTTGGCCACATAGCTCGTCCCAGTGGGGATGCACTCGGCGGAGATGACATAGCTAAAATTTTATTCATAATTTTACGTCGAGTTCAACATGGATAATATAAAAAATCGACGAAAATGGCTCCAAAAAAAATTAAACCTGGAAGAATTTCGAAATTCGTATTTTACAACAATTTTGTCGGTTTCAAACTGTCTAATCGCATTTTCCGACCTTTAAAACACAATGCCAAAAATGGCGGGAAATTTAAATTTTTAGATTTTTTCGATTAAAATTCGCCGAAACAGCGAAGAAACGCTTACCTCCTTGTAGCTCAACGTAGATAGGACCAACTGTAATGCAATAACTGGGACATCCGCCATTCCTCGGACTTTCACATCGCTCTCCCCAACTGAAGTCGATTTGGCTTTTTCGACACGGATTTTAGGGGCTTCCGACATTGTCAGAGTCGAAGTAAACGATAAATCGTCGGCTACACTTAGATCCGACTCCTGAAAAGCAAAAAAACTCATAAACTTCATTGTTATTTTTTTGTAATCAAATTGGAAGTTTTTTTGGTAAATTACGGAAAATCCGTCATCATGACAAATTTTTTATTGATGCAAATCATGATTAAATTTTGCTCTAAAGATCGCTAGAGTCTAAAATTAAACTTTCAGACGCCCTAAAGGCCAAAAACTGAGAAATTCCAGAAAATCCGTCATGATGACATCTTTAATGACTCATTTAATATGACCAACTAATATTCCAAATTGTTCTTACTGTCGCTTGAAGTGCCTCAAAAAAATTTTACGGCCACAATACTGCTACTTTCACAAAATTTTGGCCAATGGATGACGGATTTTCTGGAATTTCGGGCAAACCCAAATTTTCGAAATTTCAAAAATCTCCCATAGCCAAAAAATTGCATTCTCACCGGGTCCGCGCTAAATCGATTGCCGTTTTTGAAGGTGGACAGTTCACTTGTAATCGTGGTCGCACTGGACAAGGGATCGGCCATGGATAAGGTCGGGGACATCACGGTGGGCCGAGTGAGGGGAAACGTGGTGGTCGACGGCATCGGTCGACAATCCTTGGGGAGTTTGTCGATCAGGGAAGAGGTGTTGAGGACCTTTTCGATGTGAGAGACGGTCCTTTCCAAGGGACTCTCCTCCAAAATCGGGTCCAGGGAGCACTTCTGAAAGAGCAAATGCAGGTCAAAAGGGTACTGTAAAAGCTGGATTCTGGCAATTCGAAGTGAAATATTTGTTGACAAAGAAAAATTAGGGCTTTTTGTTCTGACAAAGGCGTTTTTCTCCAATTTTTTCCTTGATTTAGGTCAAAAAATCTTGTTTTTCTTCAATTTCATAATAAAAACGGTGGCCAAAAAAGTAAAAAAATCACTGTAGAAAGGGTAACTATCATTGTCCTTCTATATGCAATAGCGTTCAATAATCTCCTGGCCAATAATAGCCGTTTTTGTCCAAAAAATCGTTGGTCATCATGGATAATATAAAAATCGCCCAAAAATTCAATTGAAGAGGAAAGTGAATGTTGCAAATCATAATGCAATAATCACTAGGCTATTTCGGATATTAAAAAAAAATTTTGAGGCCCCTGAAACGTTATGCCAAAAGTTATGAAAAATTTTGATTTTTGAGATTTTTTTGGTAAAAAAAAGAAAATTTCAGATGAGATTGGTAAAATACGCGCGATAAATCACTGCAATATTAGCTTGTGCAAAATTTCCAGTCATTTTAAAACATTTTCCCCAAAAATTTTGCAATTCTCTTAAAAAAAATTCAACACTTTCCAAGAAAAACACTTCAACCCTCATAAAAATTTCCCCACTAACCGAAAACTCAAGACTCGATCGACCCGGAGCTCAAGCTTTAAAAAAAATGTCTTCCTCACCCTTTCAAAGTGATGTCCGTTCGGCCGACAGTCCTCCCGTGTCACCTGTTGTGGCCGGGCGCCGTTTTGATATCCGATTTCCCTGGACTGGTCAGGCCGAGCGGTGGACAGGATGTTGTTCAGAGTGGTCAGGACTGGCTCCGGCTCTTTATGGGTGGGCTTCTGAAGATTGGAATTTGAAGAATCCTTGGAATTTTTGAAAAATTTCGAAGTGATCAAGTATAATATAAAAACACGCGAGGAAACAAACATTTTTTGTCGATTGAAATGCGAAAACAATTTTTTGTCCATTATTTTGACGTAAGGAAGGTTATGACGTCATCTGTGATGGTTAAAACAGAATGCCAAAAATGGAGGGAAAATTGAAATTTGAAATTTTTAGCCAAAAAAACGTTAATTTAGGTGGCTAGTGCTTAGAAGAGGTAATTTTATGGCCGAATTTTGGATTTTCAACCCTCAAAACAGAATGCCAAAATTGGCGGGAAATTTAAATTTTTCGAATCAAAACCCCCAAAACTTACTTCAATTGTGGTCTCCGGCTTTGCAGTCGCCGAATCAGTCGTTCCATTGACAATTGGCAGATCGGGTGAGAACTTTTTGTTGGAAAAATTGGAAATTACTTTGGAAATCGCGGACTTCTCGGGGTTTGGGACGGTTTCTGGCGAAATCTCCTTCTCTTCGGCCATGGAAACTCCATCTTGCGCTGGGATTTGGCCCAATCTGACCACATAGCTGACCGACGACGGATCTTCAGCGACTTCTTGCACAACTTCCGAGGCTTCTTTTGTTTCTTTGGGGTCTTTCTTGACGACCTTCTTTTTCACGACCCGTTTTCGAGGGGTTCCGTCGGGATTGGTCGATTTTACCTTTCGAACGATCTTCTTCTAAAATACGAATGTAAAAATTAGAATTTTTAAAAAATTAAAATTTCATGAAATCTGTCATGATGACGGTCATAAAGTCCAAATTACATCGCCGACGAATGTAAAATTTTTATATGGTGTTCCAACAGTTCACGGCATTCATTACAAGTATAAGAATTGCAAAATTCCAAAAAACAAAAGCTGTCATCATGACGGATTTTATAGAATTTCAAATTTTAAACCGAAAAATTGGTGTTAATGAAAGGGAAAAAATTTATAATTCATGCATGAAGCGTATAAAAATAATCTTCGTAAAGATTGCCGTTCAAATATGACAAGAAAAATCTGTTATGATGACGGATTTTTTGGAATTTCCCAAAATCACTGTCTTTGGTTATTTTTTCGATTTTTTTTAAAATGTATAACCAAAAAAATTGCAAAAAATTAAAATTGAAAATAGTTTTGTTACAGCCACCCACCTTTTCCTCCTCTCCATTGACCAATTCCTCCGTTTTCTCATCCTTTTTCGCCCCTTTATCCTGTACAATCTTCCCCACGGAAAAGAGCCAAATGTGGACCACGTTGAATGGCCGTCCAGTGGGAGTCCCATGGTTCAGCAAATGGACCTGAGTGATGTCATTCACGACTTCCAGGCAGAACAGTTCCCAAGGTTCTTGGAATTTTTTGGCCATAACTTCCTTCAGAGCGGGCTTCCAGTTGTAAGAATTGGAAATATTCGTGTTCCGCAGAGTAATTCGCATCCCGTTAGCTGGGGTGGTGTTGGAAATCACTCGGTAGCCCTGAAAATAAGGAAATAGAGTTGAATTTCCAACAGCGGGCGGGTTTTTGAAATTGGAGTCTTTTTTCACTTGGAGAGGGAAGTATTTTGCTGCATTTTTGATACTTTCTGGATGCAAAATGGTACATTTTTTCCCACTTGATCAGGTCCGCCACTGTAGCAAGTGTTCGCAAATCTCAAAAATGCAAAACTGTATGAACGAGCACACAGAACCTCGCGGTTTTTAATTAATCATGAAAGCTCTTCGTGGCTTACCCATGACACTCGGCATATTTCAGCCGCCGGCAATCTTTTTACGCACCGTTGTCTCAATCTACCGTTTACCGGTCAGAAACATCAGACGGGATTCGGAACACGGGGACCGAAGTCGAACCCGGAACGTTCTGTTTCCATTGCTCGAGCATTTGCCTCTCCGCTATGCGGGGCGTTCGCTTCGGCGCTTCATCTCGTTTTTGGCAAAAGTCGCGCGCAACTTTTTGTCCCAATTTTGAAGAGAGAGGAAGAGTTGTCTCGTCTTTTTAGGACATGTCAACAGTTTCTCTAGTAGGAAAAGTTGGGAAAATCGTGATGGAAGTTGATGTTTTGGTCTGTTTGGATGGTTTATAGGACATTTTAGATTGAAATTTATTATTTTTGTTATCCTTTCAGGTTACGGCCATCAAAAATAAGGTAAAGTAGCTAAAATAATGTCCATTTTCGGCTAAAAGCCTCAATTTATAGTCAAAAACAATGTTATTGTTCCATTTTCTGATGTAAAATTGTTTTTCAGGGCGTCTACTTTGATTTAGACCCCATTTCCCCTACGGTTGTTTCGAATTCCACCCGTTTTTATGAGGGAGTTGATCTTTAAAGATCATCCCATAAAACCCAAAAAATATCGGAGAAAAAACAAATGGCAGGGAAATAAAAAACGTCCCAAAAGTCTTACCTGATAAATCCCCAACAAGTTTCCATCATTCTCCGAGATCTTTGTGTTCCGATCGTCGGGAATTAGCTGGAGGTTGGTGCCAATCGTGCTGAAGGATAAATTAAAGGGTGGAACCGACAGATTTGGACATGGATTTAGCTGACATTCCACTCCATCGAACTTGTGACTCAGGTTTGAGAGGATGCCTGGAAAAGTATCCAAAAATTTGAGGGAAAATAAAAAATTTTTGTCATGGATAACATAAATTTTGGTGTAAAATTAAATTTTTTTGGTCCAAATCGGGAGTATTCAGCTTTTAGAGGGCAGAAAGGTAGATCCACCAAAAAATAAAGTAAGAGAACAACAAATTAAAGATTTTTTACCATGGATAATATAAAAAAATCTCAAATTTAGAGTTTCCTATGGAACTGATACGACAAACACCGTTAAAAAATTGAATCTAACACAAAAATTTAGGTTTAAAATACGATATACACCGTGTATTGGCATATTACGTCACTTACATGACTTGAAAAAAATATAAATTCGAAGACCTCTAACTAACTAAAACTAATATCACCTCGATTGTTTCTGCCTCGTCTAAGGTCATTATAGACCACAAATTTGTTTAACGACCTCCTAAAAACCTACTGGGTAGTAATTCCGGGAAGCTGGGTGATTTCGGAACAGCTGGTGTCGCTGGGATGGAAGCTGACCTGACTGTCTCGGAAATCGATCTACAGTCAGAATCATAGCCCTTCTCAACATCTGAGGCCTTCTGCGCACTGTTGACACCGTTGATTTTCGATTCTGAGGTCGATTTTTCGATGGACTTGCCGTTTTGATGTCCATTTTGTTGAAGGCCATTTTCGATGTGATTAGATTCAGTTGACTGCGAAAATTTGGTACCATTAGAGAGGTGAGAGTTTGTTGCATCCAATGACGCACCATTTGATAGAGATTCCGATTGGATACCATCGAGTTTGACTCCATTTTGTCCGTTTTCCTTGGGATTTTCGGATCTTTCCTTCAAAAAGTCTTGAATTCTGCCATTTTCCAAGTATTTTTTGTCCTTCGGCTCCTCCTCCAACCCATTGAGCGTTGAGGTGTCGCTGTCCGCGGTCTTGAATGAATCGCTGTCCCCGTTGCTGGACGTGGGCGGATCCGCGACCGACTCCGGCATTTTGTTGAACGCTTGCCGAAAGCGCTGCAACAACGATTTGCCGGTAATATTGGAGGGTGCGCAAAAAATCTTCGGTAATTCAAAGGGCGATAGCGTCGAATTAGGAGCGTGGGAGCGGTTTATATTACACTTGATCAAGTGTAATATCCGACTCTATTCTAGATCAGGTTTAATATAAGAAAGCTGGCAAAAACAGCTCAGATAGTTGCCAAATAGAACCGACGACAAGATAGAGCGGTCCAGTCGGTTTGTGAAGACAAATGAATAGACAATGTCAAAGCCAAATCGCCAGCGGACGAAAAAAATCGGGCGAAAAAATGTCTTGAAAGACGGGATGAGCGCAGGACCGCTGACCTCAAGTTCTGTCCCCATTAATTGCTGCTCCCGAAAATACCCCACCCGATATCTCTAACCTAGGCCCTGATTAAGATTTCATTTATCCCCCCAACCTTTTCTCCCCCCGCTTTTCGCAAATCTTAGCGGAGGAGGAGAGGGAGAGACGGAGCGATGGAATTCGATGTTAAAACCAGGGTCGAGATCAGGGTCGGCCGGTCGTCCGGGGGCCCTCTCCGTTTCGCACCGGCCCTCGAGAGGAGCGGCGCTCGCTGTTTTTCGGCCGCCCGAAGATATTTTTAAACTGCGAAGAAGGCCTCCAGGAAGCAAGTCAAGTGCAAGACGGAGCGACGACCTTCGCGATCCGAGAGTATTTCACTTGCAAAGGAAAACAACATCTTGCAATAGTTCTGATGGCCAGTAAAAAGAAGAAGAGATTTTTGAACAATGGCTAATAAAATGGGGATCATGGAGTGATCAGGACTTTGGAAGGTTGCCAGAAGGCGTTGGGCAGCAGAGGCCTATAAGTTTGGGCCGAATTTATATTATCCATGAGGACCTCGGAACCAGATGATTTTGAAATTGAAGTTTTGAGGTTGCCGAATTTCCCAAAAGTAGTTAGATGTGAGTCCGAGACTAAAAATAAGGGACGAGCTTTTCACTGTCCGCATTCAGTCTTTTCGCTGTCCGCAAATCGACTTCTCACTGTCCGCAATTGAGAATTTTTTTCTGTCCGCACTTCTACTGTCCGCAAATAAAATTTTTGATGTCCGCATTCAAAACAACTTGTTCTAAACACCTGGCAAGACCTTTTTTGACACTTCTGACTGCCACATTACACTTGACATCAATATTATTTAAAACTAGGATTGCCATATTGAACTTGATATCAATAATATTCAAAATTCGAGGTGTGATGTTGCACTTGATACCAATAATATTCAAAATTAGGGCTGTGATATTGCAGTAGGTATCAATATTATTTAAAATTAGGGTTGCCATATTACACTTGATATCAATAATATTCAAAATTCAGGGTGTGATGTTGCATACTACTGGAATGTCATTTACAGGATTTTTGGGGCATGTCTGGTAATTTTTGGGGCCAGTGGTGCCCCTCTATTTTTTTAACAAATTTTTTTTATTTGCGGACATTGAGAATCTCCATGGCTTTTCACTGTCCGCAAATGAAATTCTTGGCCAAATGGCCATGTTTGGGGTGGGATTGGACTGAGACACTTCTGGAATGTGATGTAAATAATTTTTAGAGCATGTCTGGAAATTTTTGGGGCCAGTGGTGCCCCTCTATTTTTTTTAACAAAATTTTTTTTATTTGCGGACATTGAGAATCTCCATGACTTTTCACTGTCCGCAAATGAAATTCTTGGCCAAATGGCCAGGTTTGGGGTGGGATTGGACTGAGATACTTCTGAAATGTGATGTAAATAATTTTTAGAGCACGTCTGGTAATTTTTGGGGCCAGTGGTGCCCCTCTATTTTTTTTTAACAAAATTTTTTTTATTTGCGGACATTGAGAATCTCCATGACTTTTTACTGTCCGCAAATGAAATTCTTGGACAAATGGCCATGTTTGGGGCGGTTTTAGGCCAAGATGATTCTGGAATGTGATGTAAATAATTTTTAGAGCATGTCTGGTAATTTTTGGGGCCAGTGGTGCCCCTCTATTTTTTTTAACGAAATTTTTTTATTTGCGGACATTGAGAATCTCCATGACTTTTCACTGTCCGCAAATAAAATTCTTGGCCAAATGGCCAGGTTTGGGGTGGGATTGGACTGAGATACTTCTGAAATGTGATGTAAATAATTTTTAGAGCACGTCTGGTAATTTTTGGGGCCAGTGGTGCCCCTCTATTTTTTTTAACAAAATTTTTTATTTGCGGACATTGAGAATCTCCATGACTTTTCACTGTCCGCAAATAAAATTCTTGGCCAAATGGCCATGGTTGGGGCGGTTTTAGGCCAAGATGATTCTGAAATGTGATGTAAAGGATTTTTAGAGCATGTCTGGTAATTTTTGGGGCCAGTGGTGCCCCTCTATTTTTTTTAACGAAATTTTTTTATTTGCGGACATTGAGAATCTCCATGACTTTTCACTGTCCGCAAATAAAATTCTTGGCCAAATGGCCATGGTTGGGGCGGTTTTAGGCCAAGATGATTCTGAAATGTGATGTAAAGGATTTTTAGAGCATGTCTGGTAATTTTTGGGGCCAGTGGTGCCCCTCTATTTTTTTTAACGAAATTTTTTTATTTGCGGACATTGAGAATCTCCATGGCTTTTCACTGTCCGCAAATGAAATTCTTGGCCAAATGGCCAGGTTTGGGGTGGGATTGGACTGAGATACTTCTGAAATGTGATGTAAATAATTTTTAGAGCACGTCTGGTAATTTTTGGGGCCAGTGGTGCCCCTCTATTTTTTTTAACAAAATTTTTTTATTTGCGGACATTGAGAATCTCCATGACTTTTTACTGTCCGCAAATGAAATTCTTGGACAAATGGCCATGTTTGGGGCGGTTTTAGGCCAAGATGATTCTGGAATGTGATGTAAATAATTTTTAGAGCATGTCTGGTAATTTTTGGGGCCAGTGGTGCCCCTCTATTTTTTTTAACGAAATTTTTTTATTTGCGGACATTGAGAATCTCCATGACTTTTTACTGTCCGCAAATGAAATTCTTGGACAAATGGCCATGTTTGGGGCGGTTTTAGGCCAAGATGATTCTGGAATGTGATGTAAATAATTTTTAGAGCATGTCTGGTAATTTTTGGGGCCAGTGGTGCCCCTCTATTTTTTTTAACAAAATTTTTTTATTTGCGGACATTGAGAATCTCCATGACTTTTCACTGTCCGCAAATAAAATTCTTGGCCAAATGGCCATGTTTGGGGCGGGATTGGACTGAGATACTACTGGAATGTGGTGTAAAGGATTTTTTGAGCATGTCTGGTAATTTTTGGGGCCAGTGGTGCCCCTCTATTTTTTTTAACGAAATTTTTTTATTTGCGGACATTGAGAATCTCCATGACTTTTCACTGTCCGCAAATAAAATTCTTGGTCAAATGGCCATGGTTGGGGCGGGATTGGACTGAGATACTACTGGAATGTGGTGTAAAGGATTTTTTGAGCATGTCTGGTAATTTTTGGGGCCAGTGGTGCCCCTCTATTTTTTAACAAAATTTTTTTATTTGCGGACATTGAGAATCTCCATGACTTTTCACTGTCCGCAAATAAAATTCTTGGCCAAATGGCCATGTTTGGGGCGGGATTGGACTGAGATACTACTGGAATGTGGTGTAAAGGATTTTTTGAGCATGTCTGGTAATTTTTGGGGCCAGTGGTGCCCCTCTATTTTTTTTAACAAAATTTTTTTATTTGCGGACATTGAGAATCTCCATGACTTTTCACTGTCCGCAAATGAAATTCTTGGCCAAATGGCCAGGTTTGGGGTGGGATTGGACTGAGATACTTCTGAAATGTGATGTAAATAATTTTTAGAGCACGTCTGGTAATTTTTGGGGCCAGTGGTGCCCCTCTATTTTTTTTAACAAAATTTTTTTATTTGCGGACATTGAGAATCTCCATGACTTTTTACTGTCCGCAAATGAAATTCTTGGACAAATGGCCATGTTTGGGGCGGTTTTAGGCCAAGATGATTCTGGAATGTGATGTAAATAATTTTTAGAGCATGTCTGGTAATTTTTGGGGCCAGTGGTGCCCCTCTATTTTTTTTAACGAAATTTTTTTATTTGCGGACATTGAGAATCTCCATGACTTTTCACTGTCCGCAAATAAAATTCTTGGCCAAATGGCCATGGTTGGGGCGGTTTTAGGCCAAGATGATTCTGGAATGTGATGTAAAGGATTTTTAGAGCATGTCTGGTAATTTTTGGGGCCAGTGGTGCCCCTCTATTTTTTTTTAACAAAATTTTTTTATTTGCGGACATTGAGAATCTCCATGACTTTTCACTGTCCGCAAATAAAATTCTTGGCCAAATGGCCATGTTTGGGGCGGGATTGGACTGAGATACTACTGGAATGTGGTGTAAAGGATTTTTGAGCATGTCTGGTAATTTTTGGGGCCAGTGGTGCCCCTCTATTTTTTTAACAAAATTTTTTTATTTGCGGACATTGAGAATCTCCATGACTTTTCACTGTCCGCAAATAAAATTCTTGGTCAAATGGCCATGTTTGGGGCGGTTTTAGGCCAGTATGATTCTGAAATGTGATGTAAAAGATTTTTAGAACATGTATGGTTTTATCGAACCTATAATATGAAATCAACAACAATTATTTAATTCAATGATTTCATTTGATTGTCATGAATAACATGATTTCTCTTCTCACGTGTTTTCTTTTGTTTCCCCAGGATTCCGACGATGGATTTGGCAATGAATTAGCCTATCTGAAGTTTCTCGTTTGCTCTTGCGACATACCTACCGGTGGGTGGGTTTTCGACCTTCCAAGAAATCAAATAATCATCAAAATTCTGAAAAATGTGTAAAAATTGTGACTATTATTTCCGAATCTTCAAAGTTTTAATATTCTTCAAATCGTTGCAATATTTCCAACATCTCAACACTTCTTTCGCAGCTGAGCTGGTCCTACTTGGGACAAAATCATCATGAATAATATCGGAGAAAAATCAGAAAA